ACTATTAATTCGCCTCAGTGTTCTCTCGCACACAGACATTAACCTCACTGCTCCAAGCTTGCTCAATGTGTTTGTACCTTTGCTATCTGTGCTATCTGCCAATAAACTGTGGTTGCCGCTTCTTATTGCCTTCTGAATTCAAACACCGTTGGGGATTAATATGATAACGGTTATCAAGGTGATTGATTGACGAAGCTAAGTCACTACAATTTTCCACTTTTCTAAACATCCTTCAATAGTATTAATTATCTCACCACTGTCCCATACTAGTAGATGTTTTAGTCAACTTGTTGATACAAACTTTTCATAATATTTCAAAAATGAAACTATTTGGAAAAAATCATAAATTTCAATTACAAATGTCTGGCTAATATTTTCATTTTACAACTCAAAACAACTACATGCATTTTTTATCAGTCACTAGATTCTCCTTTTAATCGTTATTTTAATTGAAATTAAGTTCAAACAAATAATTAAGATCTTTCATAACATAATTATTTATACATGCAAATTGTTAGCAAATAACACGTGATAAGTTGAAAATGCATGATTAATACATTCAGACTAGAGGAATGAATGATATATGTTTAGTTAAACAACTAATGAATTCTAAAGATAAAACATTGATTAAGCAATTAGACATAAGCTGATAAATTTGGCATTATAATAATATCAGAAAATATTCCTAATTCAAACACTGCTGAATTCATGACAACAATTATCGCTCGGGCATGATGGGTTTCAGATGTTTTCAACCTGGCAAGTTGATCTTATCGGTATTTTTGGCTCAAAGTAACTCTCTTGAAGTGTTAGATATTTCGAAAGCTTATTTCCGCAATAATAACAATCCATTCAATTGTGGTGAAACTGTAAGCTACTCTAATATAGGAATTTTCTTCTCCATATAACATCTGTTTGGTCCAAGTATCCTACTAATAAGAGCAGTATGCTGTATGATATGACTAAATCAGATTGACTAAGTTACGTGTTAGTATACTTATCACTCATCGAGATCTTATGCTAAAGAGGTAGGCTCAATGACTAGTCTTCTTTCGATAACGATATATTTAAATAAACTAATGTGTGGAGGAAGGATCGAAAACAGTAGAACTACTTGCAGACCTCTTTATATTTGAAACAGTTTGAATGATTTTTCATTAATGTATGTAATAAAAAACATAAATTAACATTTGACTGATTGTGCTATGAAACAATATCATCAACAATGGCATCGAAACAGATCAAGTTCTTCAAATGTGTGGAATAATTCAATATTCGAATTTTCGGACGTTTCGTGTAGGCCACTTCTTCAGATAATGTACAAATAATCTAAATTATCACAAGTTTAAATTGTACTAAGGAACGAAGGGAAAATATTTGGTGCGATCAATCAAAAATAGCTCTGACCGATTCATTGTCTTGTCATTCATGCCAAGGTGATTTATTTGAGGCCTGTTTGTGTGTGTATGTTAAAGGATGAAAAAGTGTGACATTTGTGGCGCGATAGGGAGGAGTTGAGTCTGTATGTACGATATTAATGTGAGATGTGAATAGAATGGGACATGGTAGCTTGTATAGATGGTCGTAGTCGGGTGAATTGTGAGGCCTTCTTTTCTACTGGGGGTCGCATGATCAAGCAATATATGAAAAGCTTCAGTTTCTCACCTTTCTTTGTAGTTGTGGAATCGTGGCGTTTCTATGAACTAATAATCCCTTTGAACTTGACGATTGCCTGATTTCGAATACCGAATACAATACATTCGTTCGTGCTCATCTAGTTCTTCTTGGTCTAAATTGCTCTATTTCTATCACAAAAAAGCCTCCCCTAAGATGAATGATGCGAGAATATGCCGGAATCATTTATTACTTACGATAATAATACGAAAATCAGTAATAAAACTACTTAGTTTATTTACAGAAAAATTTATACAGATTTCAAAATAGACTACGTAGAAAATTAATATCTTATGAAAAGCCAGAAAACACAAATGAGCAGAAACTTCTTAAATAGGCCCAAAACATCAAAAGCCTTACAAGAAAAAGATATTAGTGTTATTACCGGTAACTACCTTTGCAATAGAATTTAAAAGTTTTAGAGAAAGCACATGTTTGAAAACATTTTTAACACATTGCGTTTGTCACAAATACGTTTATTTTTCTTCTTACAAGAATCGGCAAGAATAGGTAAACTCGACATATTTTTGGTTGAAAAAATAAACGGAACTTGAAACTCAAAACTCCATCAGGTTATCTTTAAAAACTTCGACTAGATTTCACGCTAGTTCCAGTGCCCCAATTGAGTGTTACAATACCTTAATATTATTACTGCTGTCAAAGTGACAACAAGGATGTTGGAGACTTAACCTTCAAAATTTATTTAACGCACAAAATGTTAAAAATAACCAAACTTTATTCGTAATAGCAATTTATTATTTGACATCCAGAATGGTATCTCTAAATGCAAATAATTCGATAGAAAAACTAGTTGAATATATAATGCACATCAACAAAAGCACACAATGTTTGTGATTCCGGAAGACAAGCACAAGGTGTATGAGTGGAAGGTAATAAATTTCAATAGTCCACTCACCAGGAAAGAATATTGTAAACACCTTACGCATTTGTCAAGTAGTTGCTTCTAATTGTTGACTGAACTTAACTTGTTTTGGAAGTAGACTAATCTACTACCTATTCAATCTAAGAAATTACGAATGGTCACCTCACAGCTGATCATAGTTTCTGGTGACTGGAACTGAATCGGTATTTGAAAGACAGTCAGGTCTCAAAATCCGGCGAATGAAGCCACAACGGGAAAGTATCCAGTTTAGTCCTATAAATGCTATTAACTAACAATTTTACACTAGGTTTCGAAGAAAGCGCACATACTACATGTACATATCCGATATCTAGTAGTTAGCACGACATTTCGAAACTTGAGAACGCTCAAATTTTGTTGGCCAATACTACCGTCTGTCATCGTTTTGACTGATATTGATTTTAAGGAGAATGATGTGAAGTCGTTCCACTAGATCCAAGTTATTCGGAATGGCTGAAGAAATCTACTGATGATTTCTTACTCTTATATCACGATGTACAAATGTTATATACGAACAAATACTAGATGAATGATAGCTGCTCTGAATTGTTCATGGACTGTCATTAAATATATTTCTATTGGGTAATAATTAAGTAACTAGATTATGTATATATACATATTCCCTTTTATCAAAATCGTTCATTTGGCCTATTGGCTACTGTTAACGTATTCACAGTTTATTCGTCTTAGTATACCACACACATACCCAATTTTCGATCGGTCTTGTATAATTATTACTTCTCATTCTATGGTGTGATACGGTCTAGTTTGCCTGTATAAAAACCACGTATATCTGAAATATACAATTCACATATCGGAGACCAATATTTGTAATCACAATTGATTGATCACTGGGTGGAGATCAATCTCATGCTTGTCTAGTCCTTATGATCGAAAGCATTCGATCTGCACTAATAAGGACTAGACAAGCATGAGATTGATCACCACCCAGTGATCAATCAATTGTGATTACATCTCAGTCCTACAGGAGGTTAGTCACGGATCGGATAGCTCAGTGGTAACGTCTCTGACTGTGAAGCTGGGTGACACGAGATTGAATCCGCCAGGGAGCACCAGTTCCCTCAAGATTACAGGTACACCTTGCTGACGAGTGCCGAGTAGCACGAAACCCGGGTCCAGGGTTTCCTGTTGACTACCTCCAACCACCATCTAATACCGATATTTGTGTTCTGGACTGGACGGACTTAGTTGGGCGAGAAGCTACTGTACAGAGAACCGATTAGGCACAGAGTTGATTCAACATTGCTAGTGCTGGTCAACGCGTTACTAGTCTAGCACAGAGACGTCATGGATGTCGGTATTCTAATTGGTGGTTTTGTCACGTAGTATTTGACGGGACATGGGGAATAACAAGATTTACCAATTGATGAAGGTTCAAACACAATTCTCAAGTCTTAGATGATGTGAACCAAATAAGTGAGTATAACTTCATAAAAAGTGAAGTATTACTGCGTAAGCCATAACTGACTACATACAAGAAATACGCTTCAAGGAATGACCAGTCGATCCTCGGATATTCTTGATATCAACACTGAGTTGTAACATTCGTAACCGTTGGTCGAAAGTTGATCTGCCGCATTCTAAATCTTATCTGAAGACTGAGAAATCACTAGAATCAGTAAAATCTGCGTAGACTCCATAGACTTGAGAACAAGTCACTGGTACGTGACATCCATGCCGAATTACATTTAACATGGAGAATATTTGGTGCAATAATATTTGAGTCATCACATGCTTTGATAAACCGTTATTGTTTGTTTCTGATTATTATATGTTCTAAGAACGTACCAATCTAGTGATATGCAGTTCAGTTCTAACGAGACATATGATTTTACAGTCCCTCAAAGGTTTCATTACTGACTTATTTAAACCTAAAAGCACTTGAAATGTTCAGTAATCATTCACGGTACCCTGACCTGATCAGTTATTACTGTGATACACTACTTTTGTTCGTCATTAAAAGAACAATAATGCTATGATCGACGTAGCGTTCAGACTTTGATAGGCTTTCGTCTATTGCGAAGGTACGTTGTGCGCTAAAGAAGGAGGAGTATGTAAAGTAATACATGTTTGAGAATTAGAAATATTAGAGAACAAAACAAAAATGAGACGACAAATTCGTAAGTTCGTAAAATGCACTTGCGTTTAACAACTAATCGAATCCATGACAACAAGCACGTAAGTTAGCATGAAATGAAAGCGTCCTGATAATTGAGAAGAGAAATTGATTGGTTAGGATGTTGATTACGCTACACAGATTTCTGCTTGATATGATTTACTAAACATAGACAGGTGCTAGCAGCGTTCATCTATTGATATAGAAAACTTGTTTGTAACCGCCCTGATGCAATGAAAAGAATTTAAACACAATTAGTACTGTATTTAGTGGACCGCAAATTTATATTTAATCGTCAACGTAAGCACTCAGCTATGTGTTATGAAACAAGCATCATAAAGTTTTATTTAAGTAATTCGGAAACAAATTTCCTAACGTAAAACATGAAAATAATAATCGGTGACGTACAGAAATTACTGCAATGTTGATGCACTACCAGACTGTTATTTTAATTGTATTAAATTTTACCAAATAATTCTTTGTATCACTTCATTCAAAGTGGCAGCACTTTTTCTCAATTTACACAATTCATCCGCACTAAGTTCAGGCGGAACCAAATGACTGATTCCAGCTGAAGTTACAAGACATGGTAAACTCAAATAAACATCCTCTTCGATTCCGTGAATTCCCTTGACAGGAACAGAGAGTGGATAAACTGTATGAAGGTTATTTAGTAGTGCGCTACAAAGTGATCCACATGCCAACCCGATCGCCCATGAGGTGTAACCTTTCAAGCGAATGATGTCATAGGCGCTCTGAACAACCTGCTTGTGTATTTCCTCGAAATTTTCAGGATCATCTTTGCATCCTATCTTCGGATTTAGAGAAGACAGCCGAACTCCAGCAACATTCACATTACTCCAAACAGCAACACTCGAGTCACCATGTTCACCAATTACATATCCATGGACAGAATTGGCAGATACTCCCAATTTCTCACCTAACAAAAAACGAAACCTCGCCGAGTCAAGCATGGTTCCGGTCCCAATTACTCTATGAGCTTCAAATCCACTCAATCTTCGAGCAACATATGTCAAAATATCGACAGGGTTCGATACGACGACTATGATGCAGTTTGGACTGTATTTCACAACATTCGGTATTATTTTCTTGAATATATCAACATTACGCTGAACAAGGTTCAGTCGTGATTCTCCTTCGTTTTGTCTGGCACCAGCAGTGATGACGACAATATCTGAGTTTGCAGAGTATTTGTAGTCGGTTCCCCCATCAATTTTGCATCTGCCAATAAACTGTTGACCATGCTGTAGATCAAGAACTTCTCCTTTAACCTTATCTGCTACGACATCAATAAGTGCGAGTTCTCCTGCCACTTGCATGGTAGAGAATGCTGCAGCCATTCCAACCATTCCAACACCTATAACAGTCACTTTACTACGAGAACGAGGCTCGATATCCCTTGAAGACACTGGTTTCATCAAAGAGTTCGTAGATGAAGACATCCTTATAAAAACAATGTAATAGGATAGACAATATGACCTTGTGTACGGTTAAGGCTGTTGTTATTGATAAGTAGTTTGCAGAAGGATGAAGCTAGTAATCTTATGTTTGGAAATCTGAAATGTAGAAAACAGGAGTTATTGAGCACGAGATTAGGTTTAGGGGCTCCATCTAGGCTCATTTATATACAAGTCATCGTAAAGCGAAAACGTAATACAAGTATCAAAACCTTACCTAGAAAGTTGTACTGAAGTGATGGAGTTAAACAATTTCGGCATCACCGGTTCCCGCTTGAACTGTTACTGCGAAAAGAAGTCACCGATTGTCCGATTTAATATTTCGTTCATTATTGTTGTTTACACCAGACTCTGTTTGCAAATTATATTGTCATTAGTCGCATTCCCCATAGGTATACTTACCTTGTTCAATGGTTGGCATTGCTCATAAATTGTTGTTTAGGTCGATCTTGAATCCTCTAGTTCACTTGCATGTTACAGTGATCACCGTTTACTGAATGCTACTACATATATCACATCTCACTCTTTCTCGATTCACTGAAACAACAGGCTGTTTGCGTTTGCAACTTATGCGTCTTAGTATTTTCTGGTCGACTGCATAATAATCCTGAATCTTATCGGATATTTTAAAAATAGTAATCTTTTGTCGTAAAAGGGTATTCTGAATAACCCAAAACCGACCACTGTCAAGCAACTGCTCACATTCAACGGCCTGTCAAGTTCTACCAACGATTCGTACTGTAAATCACTGACGTAGATGATCTGTGTAGGATGATTGGAGCCCACTCGAGTTAAACCAACCCATTAACTTCGAAGTCATATCTTGAGGTTGGTACCTGGCGTGAATTACCCTTTTGTCGTATCCAGGTACTAGTGCTGCTTTGGTGACTGCACAACGCAAACGACGTTATTACAGAAATACGTTAGTACGAGTAGGTACAAAAGAACAGAATGCGACCATAGCGGCCTTGGTCGGATGGCTTACTAGTGCCCAGTGACATTTCTTTGGCCCTAAAATCCCGAACTGCGCGTCCCTTGTAAGACCACAATCACACCAACTTAGTGGAAATGCAAGATTTATCAACTTGGACGACAGTGCTGAGAAGGCATTTACCACATTGAAAGACGGTGTCACAAAGTGAACAACGTTGGGACATCTTTAAGTTAAAGTATATATTAGTATCTCTGTGGATGCATCTGATTGAGAAGCACGTGACAACCCTTGGAATTCTTCTCGAGATGGTTACGAGACACTTGCTCGAGGTATGGTTTTCCGACGGGGAACTCTTGGCTATGTATTCATGTGCACGGCACTTTTGTCACTCTGTGAAAGGCTGAAGATTCCCCTTTACGTCGACTATAAACCCTTAACTTATGCTGTCCGAGTAACCACCAAACTCACAACTGAAAGATTTTTCTGGCTTAATATGAATAGAGGCGTAAGGTAGTGAATACGCTCTCTGGTAATCTACCAGAAATCTAAGTTGATGAGATACAACCAATATCTCCTAAGTAATTTCTCAACCCGTGGCGTTTGTTACGATAATCAACATCTTGATTAGGTGTGGCCCCAATTCAGATCAATTGTATATTCCTGTATCCGAATTTGTGAACCGTTCCACACAGTTGTCACGAGCATGCATATAAGTGATATTACCGCTGGAATGGCGATCTACCCTAACCGAATAGTGGGTGACAGACTTCGGTTTGCCTCTAACTATAACAAAAAACCGTGGACACTTTCAAATCCGTAATTTTTTGTTATCTTACGGCGCTTCTTAAGATCACACGACAAGTCACCGCAAAACCTGAAGATTATTTACAACTCTTCGAGGAATGGTGTTTATTCCATGTTCAAAGGACCATAAAGTTGCCCACATTTAAATCTTAAATTGCTTTAAGTCAATAATATCTTATTTTTAGGTATATATTAAGTGTGACATAATGTCTACATTCAGTTGCACGAATCTTTTGAGCCTGGTTTAGACTGAATATAAAGGAACTCGATATGATTTTACTGGTCCTCAAACGTTCTTCTGAACAAAAAAGTCTTAACCGAAGCCATGACCCTCCTAATCTTGACACACCAAACTGCCACTCATAATTTCGACACACGACTACACGACAACCACTAATCCCTAATTCTTTTACCATAGTGAGAAATTCAACAAATGGGTGATTATTGTTCACATCCAAACAGTTGTTCGTTCGTAATTCTATTATCACTTTTTGCTAAGTGACTTTCAATCAACGGTGTTTTGTGATTAGCCGGTAATCAAATCAAGGTCGTAAGTGTGGTTTAGTTTGATTGTTATGAGAAAAGACCACCCTCTTGATCCTTCGAAGGCTCCGGCAAGGTGGTGAGCAACATAATTTATGTGTGAGACCTAAGCTTAAGGCGAAACTGAGGGGCCATTTACTTTAGTTTACATTAAAGTTTTGACATCTTTTCAGAGGCATGATAGTACTACATATCTTTATAGAACGGTAAAAGAGATAAATCCACTCAAAACCTACCACCGTTCCATTAGTGACAGAATAACATTGTTAGAACGGGAAAAAAATATTACCAGCCTCAACAGATTGCAAGCCAAGTACTTAGAAGTTAGCCACTCTTGTGTTATCCTCTCCACCGAACAATCGAAGGGCACAAACAATGTGACTTCCATGCAGTCGTTGATGACCAGCGACCACGAAGGAGCTTCATTGGTGTCCGGTAGCCCGTCTGAAAGGACGCGTTTTGGGAGAAATTCGAGGTTCTCAGAGCTCTCGAACGACTACTACATGTAGGACATTTAACTGGCTTATTACTTTATCTCATTTTATCGTGTTCTACAATTCATTGTTTGAATTTTCAATTTTTGTGACGTCGAAAGCACAAATATTTGTTTTGAAAGTGTTGAACTATAGACATCTTCATAAAAACATTGGTGATTAACATGCTTATTTATATACGAACAGACTTGATGTATGCATCCCTCAAAGTCAAGGCCCACAGCAAGCGCCCTTTAGATTCGCTTTATAAAAACTACAGGCTTCTCAGGCAGTTGCATCGTATAAATATTTAGTGTCACAACTATTCTAACACATGAATCTTAATTTTGTACGTCCTGTGTGTTTTTCAAGGTCACAGCGTCTTCATGTTGTCATTACTAACTCGAAAAGCTAGCTATTGACTCGCTGGTACATTTATACTAATATTCTGACGTTTAGCTTCAATGATTCTATCTATTTAATAGCCCTACTTTGGATGCATCTTAACTGTAGACCAACGTTGTAAAATATTAATCATACCTGTAAAAAAGCGTATATCTGCTCTTTCAGAAACATATTACTATTACATATGTACATATTTCTTTGACAAAAGACTTCGGAAAACCCTTGTGTTTTTTTGTTTGTCGTTTAGTATTTATATAAGTATCTGTAGTTGTATTGGATCCTAACTACACAACCTTTGTAGCCAAGCGTATATTTACTGAAAGGTTTACATTCAACACGCAACATATAGAGAAGGTCGAAAGTTGTGAGCACGGTAACGGTAACGGAAATAACGCGGTTAGGTCTTGCAGGTGTGGTTATTCTGCGTACGTTATCCCTATTCTCATTGAATATATTATTCTATCTCCAACTTAGATATGTCCTTCAGAAGTGCTAGATATCATACTGCTGTTTGTCATGTAGGACGAATCAGTATAGACAATGATATGACTTTCACATAAGATCTCGTAGACCGGGTAATCGCATCATAACAAATCTATAGTCTTATGATTAGGTCCTAACCCTCGCTTTCAATTTCCAGATCTCTCTAATGGCTTGACATACATTATTTTTCCTATGTGTCATGTCCTGTTTTTCTATTGCAAGGAGAAAGATAAATCACTAATCTGGTGGATGCTGATCAAGTAAGGCCGACCATAAGAAGCTCAAAATATCCTAACTTCTTGTGAGTTGCTCAGTGTTTTATTTTTCTTATTCTGAACATTCTACAATCTCAAACATTTTCATACCCCTTGATTATCTATCGGTGCTTACCATCTCGTAATCACATATAATCTGACCAGTTTCTTGTAGATTATACCATTAGTTGTCTTCCTAGCGGTGTGATATACTAAAGAGATGTTCAACCCATAATACAAATGCTTCACCCGTCTGATTTGCTCGAAACATGGAACCAGTAGAGAAAATGTATTCCGACTATTGGCTTTATTAGAGTAATATTCATATTTTCCGCAAACGTGAGAGAGCCTTACATCACAAAAGGAGGGAGGTTGGCAGTAATGACCAACAAACAAGATAGAGAGATAACATGAATGCACCTTTGTCTGTAGGGCAGATCATTTTGTTTATTTACAGCTCCTTATGGTCTGGTGGAATGTCACGATTCAATGGTATTTATGCTGATTTATTATGCAAATTAACTCCTTGAATCGTGTTTAGAACGCTGAATTGGTTTCACTTCCTACCGAATAATCCTATTATAAGCAAACCGGACGATTCTCTAAAAACGAAGCCCACTCAAGACTATAAAACCTGGAATATAATATGGGCTGAAATAGCTTCGACAAAATGGGAGACAGCCATTCGTACAGCAAAATACTGAAAATTCAACCAATGAATTGTAGAACACGATAAAATGAGGTAAAGTAATAAGCCAGTTAAATGTCCTACATGTAGTAGTCGTTCGAGAGCTCTGAGAACCTCGAATTTCTCCCAAAACGCGTCCTTTCAGACGGGCTACCGGACACCAATGAAGCTCCTTCGTGGTCGCTGGTCATCAACGACTGCATGGAAGTCACATTGTTTGTGCCCTTCGATTGTTCGGTGGAGAGGATAACACAAGAGTGGCTAACTTCTAAGTACTTGGCTTGCAATCTGTTGAGGCTGGTAATATTTTTTTCCCGTTCTAACAATGTTATTCTGTCACTAATGGAACGGTGGTAGGTTTTGAGTGGATTTATCTCTTTTACCGTTCTATAAAGATATGTAGTACTATCATGCCTCTGAAAAGATGTCAAAACTTTAATGTAAACTAAAGTAAATGGCCCCTCAGTTTCGCCTTAAGCTTAGGTCTCACACATAAATTATGTTGCTCACCACCTTGCCGGAGCCTTCGAAGGATCAAGAGGGTGGTCTTTTCTCATAACAATCAAACTAAACCACACTTACGACCTTGATTTGATTACCGGCTAATCACAAAACACCGTTGATTGAAAGTCACTTAGCAAAAAGTGATAATAGAATTACGAACGAACAACTGTTTGGATGTGAACAATAATCACCCATTTGTTGAATTTCTCACTATGGTAAAAGAATTAGGGATTAGTGGTTGTCGTGTAGTCGTGTGTCGAAATTATGAGTGGCAGTTTGGTGTGTCAAGATTAGGAGGGTCATGGCTTCGGTTAAGACTTTTTTGTTCAGAAGAACGTTTGAGGACCAGTAAAATCATATCGAGTTCCTTTATATTCAGTCTAAACCAGGCTCAAAAGATTCGTGCAACTGAATGTAGACATTATGTCACACTTAATATATACCTAAAAATAAGATATTATTGACTTAAAGCAATTTAAGATTTAAATGTGGGCAACTTTATGGTCCTTTGAACATGGAATAAACACCATTCCTCGAAGAGTTGTAAATAATCTTCAGGTTTTGCGGTGACTTGTCGTGTGATCTTAAGAAGCGCCGTAAGATAACAAAAAATTACGGATTTGAAAGTGTCCACGGTTTTTTGTTATAGTTAGAGGCAAACCGAAGTCTGTCACCCACTATTCGGTTAGGGTAGATCGCCATTCCAGCGGTAATATCACTTATATGCATGCTCGTGACAACTGTGTGGAACGGTTCACAAATTCGGATACAGGAATATACAATTGATCTGAATTGGGGCCGGTGATGCCGAAATTGTTTAACTCCATCACTTCAGTACAACTTTCTAGGTAAGGTTTTGATACTTGTATTACGTTTTCGCTTTACGATGACTTGTATATAAATGAGCCTAGATGGAGCCCCTAAACCTAATCTCGTGCTCAATAACTCCTGTTTTCTACATTTCAGATTTCCAAACATAAGATTACTAGCTTCATCCTTCTGCAAACTACTTATCAATAACAACAGCCTTAACCGTACACAAGGTCATATTGTCTATCCTATTACATTGTTTTTATAAGGATGTCTTCATCTACGAACTCTTTGATGAAACCAGTGTCTTCAAGGGATATCGAGCCTCGTTCTCGTAGTAAAGTGACTGTTATAGGTGTTGGAATGGTTGGAATGGCTGCAGCATTCTCTACCATGCAAGTGGCAGGAGAACTCGCACTTATTGATGTCGTAGCAGATAAGGTTAAAGGAGAAGTTCTTGATCTACAGCATGGTCAACAGTTTATTGGCAGATGCAAAATTGATGGGGGAACCGACTACAAATACTCTGCAAACTCAGATATTGTCGTCATCACTGCTGGTGCCAGACAAAACGAAGGAGAATCACGACTGAACCTTGTTCAGCGTAATGTTGATATATTCAAGAAAATAATACCGAATGTTGTGAAATACAGTCCAAACTGCATCATAGTCGTCGTATCGAACCCTGTCGATATTTTGACATATGTTGCTCGAAGATTGAGTGGATTTGAAGCTCATAGAGTAATTGGGACCGGAACCATGCTTGACTCGGCGAGGTTTCGTTTTTTGTTAGGTGAGAAATTGGGAGTATCTGCCAATTCTGTCCATGGATATGTAATTGGTGAACATGGTGACTCGAGTGTTGCTGTTTGGAGTAATGTGAATGTTGCTGGAGTTCGGCTGTCTTCTCTAAATCCGAAGATAGGATGCAAAGATGATCCTGAAAATTTCGAGGAAATACACAAGCAGGTTGTTCAGAGCGCCTATGACATCATTCGCTTGAAAGGTTACACCTCATGGGCGATCGGGTTGGCATGTGGATCACTTTGTAGCGCACTACTAAATAACCTTCATACAGTTTATCCACTCTCTGTTCCTGTCAAGGGAATTCACGGAATCGAAGAGGATGTTTATTTGAGTTTACCATGTCTTGTAACTTCAGCTGGAATCAGTCATTTGGTTCCGCCTGAACTTAGTGCGGATGAATTGTGTAAATTGAGAAAAAGTGCTGCCACTTTGAATGAAGTGATACAAAGAATTATTTGGTAAAATTTAATACAATTAAAATAACAGTCTGGTAGTGCATCAACATTGCAGTAATTTCTGTACGTCACCGATTATTATTTTCATGTTTTACGTTAGGAAATTTGTTTCCGAATTACTTAAATAAAACTTTATGATGCTTGTTTCATAACACATAGCTGAGTGCTTACGTTGACGATTAAATATAAATTTGCGGTCCACTAAATACAGTACTAATTGTGTTTAAATTCTTTTCATTGCATCAGGGCGGTTACAAACAAGTTTTCTATATCAATAGATGAACGCTGCTAGCACCTGTCTATGTTTAGTAAATCATATCAAGCAGAAATCTGTGTAGCGTAATCAACATCCTAACCAATCAATTTCTCTTCTCAATTATCAGGACGCTTTCATTTCATGCTAACTTACGTGCTTGTTGTCATGGATTCGATTAGTTGTTAAACGCAAGTGCATTTTACGAACTTACGAATTTGTCGTCTCATTTTTGTTTTGTTCTCTAATATTTCTAATTCTCAAACATGTATTACTTTACATACTCCTCCTTCTTTAGCGCACAACGTACCTTCGCAATAGACGAAAGCCTATCAAAGTCTGAACGCTACGTCGATCATAGCATTATTGTTCTTTTAATGACGAACAAAAGTAGTGTATCACAGTAATAACTGATCAGGTCAGGGTACCGTGAATGATTACTGAACATTTCAAGTGCTTTTAGGTTTAAATAAGTCAGTAATGAAACCTTTGAGGGACTGTAAAATCATATGTCTCGTTAGAACTGAACTGCATATCACTAGATTGGTACGTTCTTAGAACATATAATAATCAGAAACAAACAATAACGGTTTATCAAAGCATGTGATGACTCAAATATTATTGCACCAAATATTCTCCATGTTAAATGTAATTCGGCATGGATGTCACGTACCAGTGACTTGTTCTCAAGTCTATGGAGTCTACGCAGATTTTACTGATTCTAGTGATTTCTCAGTCTTCAGATAAGATTTAGAATGCGGCAGATCAACTTTCGACCAACGGTTACGAATGTTACAACTCAGTGTTGATATCAAGAATATCCGAGGATCGACTGGTCATTCCTTGAAGCGTATTTCTTGTATGTAGTCAGTTATGGCTTACGCAGTAATACTTCACTTTTTATGAAGTTATACTCACTTATTTGGTTCACATCATCTAAGACTTGAGAATTGTGTTTGAACCTTCATCAATTGGTAAATCTTGTTATTCCCCATGTCCCGTCAAATACTACGTGACAAAACCACCAATTAGAATACCGACATCCATGACGTCTCTGTGCTAGACTAGTAACGCGTTGACCAGCACTAGCAATGTTGAATCAACTCTGTGCCTAATCGGTTCTCTGTACAGTAGCTTCTCGCCCAACTAAGTCCGTCCAGTCCAGAACACAAATATCGGTATTAGATGGTGGTTGGAGGTAGTCAACAGGAAACCCTGGACCCGGGTTTCGTGCTACTCGGCACTCGTCAGCAAGGTGTACCTGTAATCTTGAGGGAACTGGTGCTCCCTGGCGGATTCAATCTCGTGTCACCCAGCTTCACAGTCAGAGACGTTACCACTGAGCTATCCGATCCGTGACTAACCTCCTGTAGGACTGAGATGTAATCACAATTGATTGATCACTGGGTGGTGATCAATCTCATGCTTGTCTAGTCCTTATTAGTGCAGATCGAATGCTTTCGATCATAAGGACTAGACAAGCATGAGATTGATCTCCACCCAGTGATCAATCAATTGTGATTACAAATATTGGTCTCCGATATGTGAATTGTATATTTCAGATATACGTGGTTTTTATACAGGCAAACTAGACCGTATCACACCATAGAATGAGAAGTAATAATTATACAAGACCGATCGAAAATTGGGTATGTGTGTGGTATACTAAGACGAATAAACTGTGAATACGTTAACAGTAGCCAATAGGCCAAATGAACGATTTTGATAAAAGGGAATATGTATATATACATAATCTAGTTACTTAATTATTACCCAATAGAAATATATTTAATGACAGTCCATGAACAATTCAGAGCAGCTATCATTCATCTAGTATTTGTTCGTATATAACATTTGTACATCGTGATATAAGAGTAAGAAATCATCAGTAGATTTCTTCAGCCATTCCGAATAACTTGGATCTAGTGGAACGACTTCACATCATTCTCCTTAAAATCAATATCAGTCAAAACGATGACAGACGGTAGTATTGGCCAACAAAATTTGAGCGTTCTCAAGTTTCGAAATGTCGTGCTAACTACTAGATATCGGATATGTACATGTAGTATGTGCGCTTTCTTCGAAACCTAGTGTAAAATTGTTAGTTAATAGCATTTATAGGACTAAACTGGATACTTTCCCGTTGTGGCTTCATTCGCCGGATTTTGAGACCTGACTGTCTTTCAAATACCGATTCAGTTCCAGTCACCAGAAACTATGATCAGCTGTGAGGTGACCATTCGTAATTTCTTAGATTGAATAGGTAGTAGATTAGTCTACTTCCAAAACAAGTTAAGTTCAGTCAACAATTAGAAGCAACTACTTGACAAATGCGTAAGGTGTTTACAATATTCTTTCCTGGTGAGTGGACTATTGAAATTTATTACCTTCCACTCATACACCTTGTGCTTGTCTTCCGGAATCACAAACATTGTGTGCTTTTGTTGATGTGCATTATATATTCAACTAGTTTTTCTATCGAATTATTTGCATTTAGAGATACCATTCTGGATGTCAAATAATAAATTGCTATTACGAATAAAGTTTGGTTATTTTTAACATTTTGTGCGTTAAATAAATTTTGAAGGTTAAGTCTCCAACATCCTTGTTGTCACTTTGACAGCAGTAATAATATTAAGGTATTGTAACACTCAATTGGGGCACTGGAACTAGCGTGAAATCTAGTCAAAGTTTTTAAAGATAACCTGATGGAGTTTTGAGTTTCAAGTTCCGTTTATTTTTTCAACCAAAAATATGTCGAGTTTACCTATTCTTGCCGATTCTTGTAAGAAGAAAAATAAACGTATTTGTGACAAACGCAATGTGTTAAAAATGTTTTCAAACATGTGCTTTCTCTAAAACTTTTAAATTCTATTGCAAAGGTAGTTACCGGTAATAACACTAATATCTTTTTCTTGTAAGGCTTTTGATGTTTTGGGCCTATTTAAGAAGTTTCTGCTCATTTGTGTTTTCTGGCTTTTCATAAGATATTAATTTTCTACGTAGTCTATTTTGAAATCTGTATAAATTTTTCTGTAAATAAACTAAGTAGTTTTATTACTGATTTTCGTATTATTATCGTAAGTAATAAATGATTCCGGCATATTCTCGCATCATTCATCTTAGGGGAGGCTTTTTTGTGATAGAAATAGAGCAATTTAGACCAAGAAGAACTAGATGAGCACGAACGAATGTATTGTATTCGGTATTCGAAATCAGGCAATCGTCAAGTTCAAAGGGATTATTAGTTCATAGAAACGCCACGATTCCACAACTACAAAGAAAGGTGAGAAACTGAAGCTTTTCATATATTGCTTGATCATGCGACCCCCAGTAGAAAAGAAGGCCTCACAATTCACCCGACTACGACCATCTATACAAGCTACCATGTCCCATTCTATTCACATCTCACATTAATATCGTACATACAGACTCAACTCCTCCCTATCGCGCCACAAATGTCACACTTTTTCATCCTTTAACATACACACACAAACAGGCCTCAAATAAATCACCTTGGCATGAATGACAAGACAATGAATCGGTCAGAGCTATTTTTGATTGATCGCACCAAATATTTTCCCTTCGTTCCTTAGTACAATTTAAACTTGTGATAATTTAGATTATTTGTACATTATCTGAAGAAGTGGCCTACACGAAACGTCCGAAAATTCGAATATTGAATTATTCCACACATTTGAAGAACTTGATCTGTTTCGATGCCATTGTTGATGATATTGTTTCATAGCACAATCAGTCAAATGTTAATTTATGTTTTTTATTACATACATTAATGAAAAATCATTCAAACTGTTTCAAATATAAAGAGGTCTGCAAGTAGTTCTACTGTTTTCGATCCTTCCTCCACACATTAGTTTATTTAAATATATCGTTATCGAAAGAAGACTAGTCATTGAGCCTACCTCTTTAGCATAAGATCTCGATGAGTGATAAGTATACTAACACGTAACTTAGTCAATCTGATTTAGTCATATCATACAGCATACTGCTCTTATTAGTAGGATACTTGGACCAAACAGATGTTATATGGAGAAGAAAATTCCTATATTAGAGTAGCTTACAGTTTCACCACAATTGAATGGATTGTTATTATTGCGGAAATAAGCTTTCGAAATATCTAACACTTCAAGAGAGTTACTTTGAGCCAAAAATACCGATAAGATCAACTTGCCAGGTTGAAAACATCTGAAACCCATCATGCCCGAGCGATAATTGTTGTCATGAATTCAGCAGTGTTTGAATTAGGAATATTTTCTGATATTATTATAATGCCAAATTTATCAGCTTATGTCTAATTGCTTAATCAATGTTTTATCTTTAGAATTCATTAGTTGTTTAACTAAACATATATCATTCATTCCTCTAGTCTGAATGTATTAATCATGCATTTTCAACTTATCACGTGTTATTTGCTAACAATTTGCATGTATAAATAATTATGTTATGAAAGATCTTAATTATTTGTTTGAACTTAATTTCAATTAAAATAACGATTAAAAGGAGAATCTAGTGACTGATAAAAAATGCATGTAGTTGTTTTGAGTTGTAAAATGAAAATATTAGCCAGACATTTGTAATTGAAATTTATGATTTTTTCCAAATAGTTTCATTTTTGAAATATTATGAAAAGTTTGTATCAACAAGTTGACTAAAACATCTACTAGTATGGGACAGTGGTGAGATAATTAATACTATTGAAGGATGTTTAGAAAAGTGGAAAATTGTAGTGACTTAGCTTCGTCAATCAATCACCTTGATAACCGTTATCATATTAATCCCCAACGGTGTTTGAATTCAGAAGGCAATAAGAAGCGGCAACCACAGTTTATTGGCAGATAGCACAGATAGCAAAGGTACAAACACATTGAGCAAGCTTGGAGCAGTGAGGTTAATGTCTGTGTGCGAGAGAACACTGAGGCGAATTAATAGTCAAGTCGAATCAAGGTGCAGAGAGGCAAGACAAAATCTGAGTGAGGCGAGGCTAGGTGAAGCGAAAGCAATTAATAACATTCAAGCACATATATTGATCCTTGGGAAGGAGAATGATTCATCAAGCGACATTTAAGCGATGAACATTTAAAGTAGAGTGAGTATTATGTGCATAGGCTGTCACATGTGATCAAACATACACGTTTATACAGACATGATAATGATCACTACAATACAAATAAATAAACGATTTGTTGCTGTTCGAATAACACTGTCCGTTAGATAAGTTAATGAAAAGGCTCGACAAAATTAACCGTGATCAAAATTAAATGTAGGAGAGTTGCTATAATATAATCAATGATGAAATGTTTAAACTCAACAAAAATCAGTTATTCTATTTGGTCTAACCTCTTAGTACTGCATTATAATCATTGACTGTCGTAATACTGCATGTTTCATATATTGGCCTAAAGAATAATTGTACAGGGGAATTCAGGACTGCATGTACAGTGAAAAAAAACAGCTGATCTGGATCAAACGGTTGAGTAATTAATTGTTTACTTCTAAGCGAATAACTGATGATTATTAGGTAATATTCGCAGAAGCAGTAAGATAATTCCTTCTTAATTAATTTTATTCTGTGTTTTAACTATTATCGCTTCTATGTATTCTAAGAAATGCTACAGACCTCCAGATAACCAATTGTTATTTTTCAAAAATGAAGATTGGAAATCGAATCATATTAGCCGACCACTTTCTTATTTTACCACAATGAAGTAACAATCAAATGAAATCTAAATTCATGGTCACGTATTACATTTTTGCATTACATAATTCTGTCAATAAACTTTAGAAGAACGTGAATTAAACGATAAACTGTATATAAATCGATGCAAACGATAAAAACTCAGTTAAAATTATTGCAACGTGTTATGTCTTTCATGTATTTTCATTATTGTTAAATTAAATTTTCTTGAATATATTTACTCTGATATCATTACATACTGATACCATTCATGTCAGTGACATATCACATTGTAATTTTCAGAAAAAAAACAATTAACAGGAGAAAAATGATATCACTAACATTGAATTCCAAAATTCATCCATCTATTTTCGATCAATTGTTATGTAAAACCTAGTTAATCCCTATAAGATGAACGTGTTTAGAACAGAGAAAATCACTAGATGATTAAAAACCTGATTAGTAACCAATCGACATTTAAAAACATACCAATAGCTTGCAAATTTACATGTGGTCAAGTTAAATGTGAAGAGTACCAGGGAATAAGAACCCAAAAGTATTCACTTGTCAAAATTAAACAATCACAAATTTTTGGTTTTCTGACACGCGCACGTTGCTGGCATAAAGACTCATGTTGAACGTCGTAGAGCATCCTTATTAGCAATGCGCCTATCAGTTATCTTTCACGCACCACTTCGCAGTGTAGTCCGTCGTACGAATTCCGTGTGATGTTGACGATTTTCTCAGGTACACTATAGTGTCAAAGAAGGTTCCATAAGGTTATCCTTTCCACGTTGTCAAACACTTTCTCATAGTCAAAGAATTTGATGTATAGTGACGAGTTTCATTTATATTAAAACACAATTGTTTGAGCGAAGAATATTCTCTTCAATAATTTCTCATCAGGTTCTACAATTATAAATCCAAATTAATAATCCGTAGAATTAACCAGATTTAATTGAGAATTGTTTTTTGTTGTATAAAACCAATTAAGATCGTTAATATTGAGGTTGTTTAATATAAAGTGTTAACTTGAATAAGTTTATAAGCGATCTTAATTGGTTTTATGTAACAAACAACAATTCTCAATTAACATATTACAAATTCCAAATGATGAACTCTGCCTTAAATCTGGCCAATTTTATGGATTATTAATTTCGATTTATAATTGTAGAACCTGATGAGAAATTATTGAAAAGAATATTCTTCGTTCATACAATTGAGTTTCATTTGTTGATTGTTCAACAATGATCCATTGTGTCGTGATTCGGTCTGTGCACAACCGATCCTTACGGAATTCGGTCTGTTGATCTCGAAGTACGGTGTCTACTGAATCTTTCATCCAGTTCAGCAATACTCTTTAGAAAACTTTTCCTGGTACCCATAGTAGTGTGACACCTCTGTAGTTTTCACATTTGCTTAGATCTCCTTTCTTTGGTATCTTGATGAGGTATCCTTCTCTCCAGTTCGTCGGCACTTGTTCCTCCTTCCAAGTCTTCATGTATAGGACTTGTAACATGTTTGCAGTTGCTTCTATGTCTGACTTCAGTGCTTCAGCTGGTATATTGTCAGGTCCTGCTGCTTCCCCACTATTCATTTGTCTGATGGCTATCCCGACTTCCTCGACCGTTGGTGGGGTGACATCTATAAGAAGGTCTATAGGCGCTGCTTCGATGTCCGGTGGATTTAATGGAACTAGCCGATTCAAGAGCTCCTCAAAGTGTTCTACCCATCTATTCGTCTGTTCTTCAGTTTCAGTGATTGGCTTTCCTTCTTTGTCCTAGACTGGTCTCTCTCGTTTACTATATTTCCCTGTCGGTTTCTTCATTGTGTCATATAGTTGTCTGATATTTTCTTCTGTTGCAGCTCTTCCACTGTCGTTGCTAGCTCTTCTACGTATTTCTGATTGTCTGCCCCAGTGCTCCTTTTCATGAGCACTTTGCTATGAGATTACAGCCTCTCGTAAAACTGATCTTTATCGTTGTCGTTGCTATCATTGGTGGGTGCATAACGTTGGATAACATTCATTGTGATTCCCTCATTTGTTTTGAAAGATGTTTTGATGATCCTGGGTCTACGAGATTCTCATCCTATAAGTGCTTCACATGCTCCTTTGGACAGCATCAAAGCAACTCCGTGAGTATGCGAAGCATTTTCTTCTTCGTGACTACAGCACAGTAGCATCTCTCCTGAACCTATCATTTTCTGCCCAGCTTGGGTCCAACGGGTTTCACTGATTTCGAACACCTTCAAGTCTTATCTCCTCATTTCCCCAGATATTTGGTTAATCCTTCCGGTCTCTCACATTGTCCGGACATTCCATGCACTTATACCAATTGTTGCTCTGGTTGTTAGAAAACATATCGGCCTTGTGACTACTGAGAAATATCGGTTTTCACCATGAGGCATCATAATTCCTCCTTCAACTCTGTTGGCAGAGTTTAAATGATTTGATTTGTTTATTCTGGTTAGCCTGTTTATAGCAAGGTTGTTTTCTACGGGATGGCAATGCTGACCCCATGCCCAACCCTCATCCTTTACTGGGGATTGAGACCTGAATTAGCTTTAAATTACTACAGTTGCTAGTTTATTTGTTTTAAACAGATACTGAGTACCGAATTTTTAATAAAGGATCAAAATTTAAGTATTCAGTGTGTGAAATTCTTATTCACGTAAAGCACATTAAAATGTATTTCATGTATTCAAAATCAAACACACATGTAAATTAGAAATGTTACTTGGTTGATAATGATAAATAAATTCCTAGTAGACCATATACTATGTCCTTTTTCATTAGTTGTTTCGACTGCAACGCAGATTACTGCTAATTGGTTCGGTCTACCAAAGTCCCAACTGTGAGATGAATGAGGTCTTACTAGACGGTTTCGACACTTGGTCGTCAAGTAGTCGACGTTTATTCTTAGGAGACCTTAATGCACCTACAGTAGACTGGAGAAATCTGGGGTCCGCGGATTTGGAAGATTGTTAGGAACAGAAACTGGTTGGCAGGGTTACACATGACCCCTAGTGCAGATTGTGAAGGAAGCAATTAGGTACGACTCGAACTCATAGTCATCCTTGTTAAATTTCACAATGGCCCAATATATAGTGGTTGCCACAAAAATCCATCGTATGACAGACAAATGTGAGAGTGTTGTAGCGTGGCGTCGAGTTGAGATTAACTGTGAACACCGCTACCAAGAAACACGTGCCAGATAAACCAGAAGGCGAGGATTGAATGTAACCAGATTTATTTCGTTGGCGATCTCGTGGTGTTGAACGAATACCGAGATCGTGCCAAGAAAAGGTACAAGCGAAAGCAGAAGACAGGAGTACGTGCGAACAGTACCGAAAACCGCGGAACAATGATGGAAGGTAATGGAAGCACAAAATGGCTATAATTATCACAGTTAAACAAAAGCACATTAAAACAAACACTGGTACAGTTGGTTATAATAATAATTGTTTTTATTAAACCAGTCGTGTTCTCGTGATAAACGTGAGTCACCACAGTGTCATGAATTTCTAATGCCTAATTTCCATACCGTTGTCAACATCGATGTGTCACCTCAAGTCATACCAAACGTTTAGGAAGAAATTATGCGAGAAATCATGCATTCAGAATTCTCAGTTAAGTAGACAACATGATCAGAATCGCCCACTGAAACGGCCTGGAAGATATTCGGAAATTTATACATAAATGTAGTGCACCGTACATCCATTGGACTACATAAAGAAGTTCGCGAAGATACATTTCATGATTAAATAAGAATATTTGCACCCATCCATGTAAGAGGAAAATAATATAAGAGAAATTTAGGACACTGGATACTGATGCGACAAAATTTAAATGTTGGGGAACTTGCAATATTTGTGTCGCGGTCTTCCGCAAGTCTAGAAGATTATATAAAGGAGAGCTCATACTCGTACATAAATCGAAGGACTAAGATAAGATGCGCTATCTCAGTATCATAGGGAGACAATAGTGGAGGACGATCATAGCTTCGGCCAGGTAGTCGTAAGTTCATACAACCCCAACTACACACTCTGGACACCATGACCATTAACGAAACCTATGTCTTCGGTCTGCTAAATATATAGGAAAATCCATGGGACCAGATAATACGTATGCTAAGTCGCTAGAGGAATCGGTAAATGTTATCGCCGATCCCTTAAGCATACTCTTTAATTTATCTGTAACCCGAAGTAGAAGAACGCCATAGTAAGTTCTGTTTTCAAAATAGGTACGACATAAACTTGAGGGTTATTGAATTGTAAGCTTAACCATGGTGGTCGTTGAAATTTTAGAGATTAAGGAAGGGATTATTCAAGTATTTAAGCGAAAAGCTGATCCTTTCTTGAAAGTAGTATGGATTTATAATGGGTTGTTCATGTCTCACAAACATATTAGCAACCCATGAAATCTGATGCGTTCTTAAAGATCGAAGGTAGCCCATATATGTATCCTACATTGACTTCAGTAAGGCTTCTGATAAAGAGCTATAAAAAGTGATGGCAATAGTTCAGATCCTTAAACTAACCTAGAGAGATTATCTCAATGGTCTGGAATTTGGCAGTCAATGATAACTGCTTTCAACTGTATTACGATTGTTATTGACGAGATCACCAATTGGAATACCGACATCCATGACGTCTCTGTGCTAGACTAGTGACGCGTTGACCAGCACTAGCAATGTTGAGTCAACTCTGAGACTAATCGGTCTTCTGTCCGTCCAGTCCAGAACACAAATATCGGTCTCCGATATGTGAATCGTATATTTCAGATATACGTGGTTTTTATACAGGCAAACTAGACCGTATCACACCATAGAATGAGAAGTAATAATTATACAAGACCGATCGAAAATTGGGTATGTGTGTGGTATACTAAGACGAATAAACTGTGAATACGTTAACAGTAGCCAATAGGCCAAATGAACGATTTTGATAAAAGGGAATATGTATATATACATAATCTAGTTACTTAATTATTACCCAATAGAAATATATTTAATGACAGTCCATGAACAATTCAGAGCAGCTATCATTCATCTAGTATTTGTTCGTATATAACATTTCCACATGTTGTCCGGACAGAGACTTGTGAGTCATCGTTTATCAAAAGTTAAAAACTACCTCAAACTACCATACGATAGCCACCACGGGTTTTAGAGCCCTATGGTGAGTGTGTTGAGTTTTGAGTCATATCAATGCTTAGACCTTTTTGATTTGGTAAACGGTGTTTGCTCGTCTTAGATTGAAGTGCTACCTATAAGCAGCTAGTCCCGTCTAAGAAGACAGTGAACTGTTGGAAAAGGTTCAAATAACCGAACCCCTGGAATCGAGAGTCTCTTCCTTTTTCAGAGTGACGGGCAGTAAATGCGAGAGAGGTAAAAATCCAGGGATTGAATTGATCATACTTACTGTACGATGCAAGAAACTATTTCGAAAAGACTCTTTTTTTCCATTTGATTTCAGATTCAGATTCAGATTCAGATTTGTGTAGTAAGGACAGAAGGCCTACGGCCTATGTTATTCCTTTTCTAGTATGCTTCTCTGAGTGTCCAGTCTTCTCTTGAAAGAGTCAATTGAAGGTGCGGATACCACTGCTTCAGGCAGCAGGTTCCAAGTATTGATGACTCGGTGTGAAAACCTGTATGCCAGGGGTATTTTGTTCGTTCTTGGCTTTTCTACTCGCCTGCTATGTCCTCTGAGGTGTCCCGATCTAGTGGGAAGGAAGAGAGAGAATAAGTTAGGTCCGAAATCATTTCTTAGTATTCTGTACATCAATATTAGATCTCCCCTTAGTCTGCGATAGGACAGAGTAAAGAGGTTCAGTTTTTCAAGCCGCTCTTCATATGATAAACCCCGGAGTTCCGGAATCGCACGCGTAGCTGCCCTCTGTACCTTTTCTAGTATGTCTGAGTCACCTTTTAAACAGGGGCTTGCAGCCTGAACACAGTTCTCTAACTTAGTTCTCACTAAGGATGTGTATAATGTGGTGAACATGGTAGTATCAAGCTTAGTGAATGTCCTTTTTAAAGCCCAGAGGGTTCGAAACCCCTTAACTGCGACCTCCCGGCAATGGGCCGTCGTCTTAAGATCATTGCTCACTGTCACCCCTAGGTCCTTATGAGACCGGACTATGGGTAATGACACATCCCCTATGTTGTACGTATTAACCTTTGAATCCCCCAAGTGCATGTAGACACACTTTTCCGAGTTGATAGGCATTAGCCACTCTTTAGACCAGTTTATCATATTATTTAAGTCCGCCTGAAGAGTAAATGCGTCTGTGTCACCAGTTATTACTCGCCAAATTTTTACATCGTCAGCGTATAATAACATTGGAGACTGTACTATACTTGTAAGATCATTAACGTACATTATAAAAAGTAAAGGACCTAGGACGGAACCTTGGGGTACTCCACTAAGTACTGGTCTCCAGATGGAGCACTTGGAATTTATTCTTACTTTTTGCCTACGACCTATTAGGAAATCCTTAATCCATTTTAAAAGAGGTCCGGCAATACCAAGGTTTGCCAACTTCAATAGCAGTCTATTAGTTGGCACCTTGTCAAAAGCCTTACTGAAGTCTATGTAGACAACATCCACTGAGTTTCCGTTGTCTAGCGCATTAATCCAGAGCTCCCTAGCTATAAGGAGGTTCGTTGTACAGGATAGACCCTTTCTAAAACCATGTTGTGCCATGTTCAGCAAGTTATTGGTTTCCATAAATGCCGTTATGGTCCGTTTGATTATCCCTTCCAGTATTTTAATTACAACACTGGTGAGGCTTACGGGTCTGTAATTTGATGGAACTTGTCGTAGACCAGTTTTATGTATGGGAGTGACGATTGCGTCCTTCCAGTCCATAGGTAACACACCTTGGTCAAGTGACATTTTGAATATCACAGTCAGTGGGGCTGCGATATATTGGGCAATATGTCTCAAGATTTTAGGGTGTAGTTCATCTGGTCCTGTTGACTTCTCCATGTTTAGGGTGCTAAGAGCCTTAAGCACATCGTTTTGGTCGAAGTCCACGGTGAGCAGCTGGTTTGTTGACTCTGTAATTGGGTCTGGTTCTTTCTCTAGAGGAGGTTCCTGAGTGAAAACTGCCCCAAAGTAGTCAGCCATAATCTCAGCTTTTTCCTGATCTTCCTCTATCATTTCAGATTCACTTCCTACTTTAATTAGGTTGGGAATCCAGTGATGAGTCCTTGTTCTGTAGTTTATGTACGAGAATATCCTCTTGGGCTGCTTGAGTGCAGATTCTGCCAGCTGCATTTCGTATTTTCTTTGCGCTTCCCGAATTTTAGTTATACACACGTTTCTTATCGATCTGTAGCGTTCCATCGTACCTGCTGTGCCAAGGCGGATGGCAACATCCCAGCATTTCTTCTTTTGTCTTAGTAAGCGTCGAATATCCCGCCCTAACCAGGGATGTCCGTGCTTCTTTTTCTTTGGGACAGTCCAGGGTATATATGGTTGAGTTACCCGATTGTATAACTGTCTGAATAGAGTCCATGCCTCTTGTACTGATGCCTTTGAGTCAATTTCCCAGTTCTCAGCCGATGCTGCGGAGTTAATTGCCTGCATATCTGCCTTCCATATGTTAGGACGGGCCGGCGCAATTGTTTGACAAGCAATCTCAGCCATGAATTTGAATAAGATGACTGCATGGTCACTTCTCCCAAGTGGTGGGAGAAAAGCCTTTTGACCAACGTCATCACCGTGTGTAAAGACTAAGTCTAAAAGAGAAGAAGAGTTTCTTAAGTCGTACCTTGTGGGATCTCTAATGTGTTGGAATAATGCTAGTCCGATCGAGGTTTCTAACAGTTTGGAGTCGAACGACGATATAGATGACTCTACTTCTAAGTTAACCCAGTTTATATATGGTGCATTAAAGTCGCCTACTACAAGGCTTTTACCGTTGTTACACCAGGACTTAAGTTTACTGAGGAGAAAATCATCTGCTACACATTCTGGACTGCGATAAACTACAACTAATTCAATATCTTGCCTTCGGCATTTCAACTTACATCTCACCAGTTCACATGTCCCTGAAACATGTGCTACTGTCTCAGCTAATCTTATGGTTAGGCTACTTTTCGTGTACACAATAACCCCGCCTCCCCTTCGGTTTAATCTATCAGCCCTACTGGTTATGAAACCAGCCAATTGGATTTCACTATCTAATACTTCTGACGTTAACCAAGTTTCCGAGACAGCGATAACGTCCGGTTTTTCTTTATCCACCACTGACTTCAGCTCCGCCATTTTATTTAGTAGGCTGCGAGCATTTGTGTAGCACACTTTTAAGTCTGTGGAGAGCTTTCCCTTGCCACCCAGAGTGGCTTGGGGATCGTTTTGCTCCGAACTTTTACAATCTGAAAACCCTTAAGAACGAGGTTTCTTTCACCATTTCGGCGACGCTCGTTTATTTCCGCTTCTGCAGCCCTTCTCTTAATACGATCAGCTAGGCTGAGGTCCTCACGGACATATATTCCGGACCCAATCAGTTTACGTGAATTACTTAGAACCAGGTTCCTTTCTTCCACCGTGTTGAGTGTAACCTTTAGGAGGCGGTTTTTCTGAGGACTTTCGGAATCCACCTTTTTTCCTATTCTATAAAGCTTACAAATACTAACTCCTGAAACTGTATCTGGGAGTAGTTTACTTAATGATGTCTTGATATGATTGAGATCATGTTCAAATCTTGCCTTTGGTTCAGTGTCTGAAGATTCTCTTATCTTATGAAAAATGACTGATCTCTCAGAGAGATCTGTCTTTTCACGCGGTGAGGATTTTTCTTCTGATAAAGTCCCTTCCAATGTCTTGCTGACCAGCTGCGTTTTGCCTACAGCCTTTTTCTTCTTATTTTTTTTTCTTCTTACCGGAGTCCATTTGTCACCACTCAGAACAGCCACACCTGGACTATGTGGAACGGTGACAGTTTTATCCGGATCTTCTATTTCGACTAGGGGTGTATGACTGCCGATGTCAATATCAGGCGACACTTCATTTCTCGTTAATGTCAACGGAGATTTCACGTTCCCGTCAACCGCAGTCAGGTGTTTAATGGGTCCAGTAGCAGCACTTACTACACTGACACATTCTTCATCGTCAGTACTCCTGTTATCAGTGCTTCCACCATCGTTTTTCTTGCAGGCCAAAGCCAATAGGCCCATAGCCTCCTGTATTAGTACCTTTTTATCCGTACAGCAGAACACACAAAGCCAATGCGAGTTAGGCTTCGAGCATCTTTTATACGCCGTCGGACTTAGTCGTGTACACATTTTGTGATACCACTTTTTACAGTCGTCACACTGCATTCCCTCATCAACGGAGAACAAACAATTTGGTTGCCCACATTTGTGAGTCTTACCAACCATTGTAATTCGATTTAAAAGGTTTAAAAACAAAAAACGATAACAATGTGAACACAGGTCTTAGTCAAGGACTAAAAACAGGTACCCAGGACAAAATGTAGCAAAAAATTTCAAACTTTAACCAAAGAACTCTTAGTTAAAGTAGACCAAGAATGCTTTTTAGTGCAATAAGTACCAAAAGCAAGTATAATCACAACAAGTACAAAAATCACTGCCCTTTTTGAAATTACCGCCTCGTGGTACAGTGCTGAAACTGTTTTAAACTATTACTTGTTGTCCCGCTACTCCAATTTCTCCTTTTATGGTCATTCATTGTCCACTCGTTGTATATTATTATTTCAGTCCATTTGTTAACTTAAGTGGACGACCCAGCACATCCTTCAACAGTTCAAGGTCGAGGGCCTGGTGTAGTTTAAGAGGTATGTAGGACGGGACTTTTCTCTATTAGCCTTATAAGATCAATGGTGGGAACATGTAATATACCTAGTTTGAGATTAGTTTGGTGAGACCATAATTTATGGGCGACCTTCGAGCGACGCTGAAGTTGCCTTGAGAATGTTCATCTACATATGCAGCCCTAGTATATACTAGGGCTAAATGAAGGTTCTAAACCTGTGTGAAGTATAAGGATAATAACTTACAGTTAGTGGTTAGGGTTAGGAATTAGAATTACGGTTTTCAACACGAACTGGCATAAGCTAAAGTGCCAAAACGCTATTTGGCCAAACGGATGGAGAATTTCGCTCTGAAATCTAAGACTTGTCATCGTAAATCTGTTTGGTTGGTCAATAGATTATAGTCTTGCCGGCCTTTGTTAATTCTGTCTAACATCTAGAGTATATTTTCCGCTACAGAATCACGATTAACTTTTTATGGGAATTTTTCCTGACCAGGAATACAGCTTTCTCGATTTCGGAAAATGATGTCATACAATATTTCCTCTCAGCGGTCCCTGGGGATTTCCAATTCATTGGTGTGTTTGACATTTTGGAAGACACTAATTGGTTGACACAAAATAAATCAGTCTACTTTCATTCTTTCTGAAAAATGATCAATATAATACTAACTAGGAATGAATAGATAGGTCGTACCACTCATATGTTAAAAAAGACAACACGATTCTCAATTGTATTCATGTCTTCAACAAAACAATAGAGACTTCATCTGGTTGGGAATTATATGCACAGATATATGGTCTATGGTCTGAAGTACGCTTAATTTCCAAAAAAGCCGATTCCATTTCATGCGTTTAAAACTAACTGAAAAATAGTGATTTTATCGTTGTGATAGTATCAATATTGCAATGGTGTCCTCAAAACTCATTATGACAACAGTTTTAAACGGGGTATAATAAAAAGTGGACTGAGGGAACAATTGCTCTAAAAAGGAACTATAATGGATGTTATATAGATGATAATCCATATTAGTTACTCCTTTTAAGCCCTCTTAATTCCCAATCGAAAAAAAACATCAAGTTAATCGTCAGAACTACGAGTCATGTTCTAACGATTAAAGGCATTAAAATCTTTTTCTTTAAAGCTTTTTCTGCTCTCCAAGGTTATCTTAAGAGTCGCTCAGTTTCTCCGCATTTTAGCTTTGGCCACTAGTTTATTGTTGTTGTTAATATACATGTTTCCACCTTTTTTCATTGTCCGAAAGTTTAGCAACCAGCTGGTCATTGCTTGTATGTAACATCCACCCTAGGTAGTTGTTGACTAATTGCTTACACCTGTTATTCCCAATGGAGCATAGGTCGCTGACCAGCATTCTCCAACACACTCTGTCCTGGGCCTTCTTTTCTAGTTCTATCCAATTTTTGTTCATTTTTTCCCATGTCTGTCTCCATTTCTCGGTGTAATATTATCTTTGGTCTTCCACTTTTCCCTTGACCTTGAGGATTGTTTTGTGACGCAGTTGGGTGATTTCTTCAATGTGTGTCCTATCCACTCCCAGCACTTCTTCCTGATTTCTTCCTCCTCTGGGATCTGGTTTGTTTTCTCCCACAATAGGATGTTGCTGATAGTGTCTGGTCAACGGATCCGAAGTATTTTGCGTAGACAGCTGTTAATAAACACTTATATCTTCTGGATGATGGCTTTCGTGGTTCTCCAGGTTTCCGCCCCAGTAGACAGTAGAATTGTTTCGACCTTTGTATTGAAAATTCTGACTTTGGTGTTGATTGACAGTTTTCTCGAGTTCCAGATGTTCTTCAATTGTAGATATGCTGCTCTTGACTTTCCGACCCGTGCCTTCACATCTGCATCAGATCCACCGAGTTCATCAATGATCCTGCCCAGATATGTAAAGATTTTTACATCCTCTAAATCTTCTCCATCATGTGTGATTCGATTGGTGCATACTGTGTTGTATCGGAGAATCTTGCTTTTCCCTTTGTGTATGTTGAGACCTACTGCTGGAGCATCTGCAGCTGTACTGGTCTTCTCCTGCGTTTGTTGTTATGTGTGCGACAGAAGAGCCAGATCATCTGCGAGGTCTTGGTCGTCCAGCTGCATCCTAGCTATCCACTGTATCCTATGCTTCCCCTCAGACGTTGACGTCTTCATGATCCAGTCGATCACCAGGAGAAAGGGAAATGGTGAGGGTGATCAACCTTGCCTGGCACTGGCCTTTACTTCAAACGACTTTGTCAACTGTCCCCCATGCACGATTTTTGAGTTTAAGCCATCATAGGAATTCGTATGATATTGTCGAAGAAGCTTCTATAGTGTTGTCCTGTCCACGCTATCAAATACTTTCTCGTAGTCAATGAATTTAATGTAGAGTGATGAATTTCATTCAATTGATTGTTTCACAATGATCCGTAGTGTTGTGATACGATCTGTAGACGACCGATCCTTATGGAATTCAGCCTGTTGGGCGTCTAAGGAGTCCTTTATTCTGTTTAAAAGACTTTTCCCGGTATTGAAAGAAGTGATGCCCCTGTAGTTATCACAGTTGCTGAGATTGCCTTTCTTTGGTATTTTGATCAGAAGTCCTTCTTTCCAGTCTTTTGGTACTTGTTCTTCATCCGAAGTCTTGCTGAAGAAAATATGGAGTATCCTTACAGTTACTCCTACATCTGCTTTTAGTGCCTCTGCTGGAATGTCTGGTTCAGCTGCTTTGCCACTTTTAATTTGTCTGATGGCCATGCTGACCTCTTCAGTTGTTGGTGGGCCGACATCGATTGGGAGGTCCGTGGGTTCTGCTTCTGTGTTGGGTGAATACAGTGGGTTTGGTCGATTCAAGAACTCCTCGAAGTGCTCCACTTGTCTGTTTCGCTGTCCTTCAAAGTTGATGGTTACTTTGCCTTGTTTTTTAATGATCGTTCTGGTGTACGATAATTTCCAGCGTGCTTCTTTGTTGTATCATACAATTGTCTCATGTTTTCTACTCTTGTAGTCTTTTTTTGCCGTCATTGCTAGATCCTCCACATATTTACGTTCGTATGTTCTGATGTTCCTCTCCATTTCCTTGTTTACTTCTGTGTATTCAGCTTGTGCCATAGCTTTCTCTGCTGCCTTCTTGTTCTTTTTTTGATTTTTACCCAGTGTGTCAACAGTGATCCATTCCTTGTGATGATGCTTCTTGTGGCCTAGAACCTCATGACATATTGAAGTGATTCCCTCCCTGATCCACTTCCAGTTGTTCTCCATAGTGGTTTCCTCTCCATTGAGTAGATCGTGAAAGGCCTGCGACCTATTGCTGATGGCTGTCTTGAATTCGTTGTCAGTTATGACCTAGGACCAGGCACATGTACATCGGTCCAAGTTGCCATACCTCATTAGCACAACAAGATGAACGCCGAATTCATAGAAGTAGTAACTTCAATGGTAGTAATGTATAAAAGTTTTGTATAATGATATAGTACAGGAAGAAAGAATTATTTAGTAGAAAGAAAGATATGAAGCGATTTTAATCTCATTGTTTAAGGGAAGACAAAAAGTGAATACACCGACGCCATTGTGATCGATTCTGAGCCATGTCGCCCAGAATTTATCAGTATCCCGAAGGAAGACCGTATGAACGTTTCATGATGTTGTCCGCCCCGTTGTCCAGTGCTTCTTGGACTGGCAGTAACCCCAGAAAGGCTCCAGGCGAACTAATAAGTGGGACAAGTCTGGTTGCTGTTAAGTGTGCGAACAACATCCTCACTTTTATATCCATTTCTGTATCCATTCACTAGAGTTACAACAATTTTCATAATTTTGATCTGACATTCTAATTTGTCTCAAACCACCACCCATTTTAACGGTTAGCAGTGGTAACTTGGCGCACTAAGTACCCCCCCTACCTATATCATTTTACAACCTGCGATTATTTCCGGCTTATACCAAGAAATTTTAGCCCAAAATTCGGTCACTGTATTTACACACCACAAATGTGAACAGGGTGACAATTGCTTTTTAATCTACAAGCAATCAACTTGTAGCACGATGAAATGTGATCATGATTAACTGGTAACAAATATTAGTTCGGGAAATTAAGATGGCTTTTTACAAAGAATATATACCACACAACTCAGTATGCATTATTTTAGACTTTATTTCTAGCTTCTTGATTGTGCAGTCGCATTACTTTAGTTTTTTATGTTACAAATATCAGAGATTTCTAGTCACTGAGTTATGTGATCTACCTTTTAGTCAGCAGTCTTGGATCAAGACTGAGCTTTAAACGCTTGGACTGTTTCACTGAACTGCGCCCAAATGCCCTGGTACGGCCGAGGGTGGAAAGAGTCCTCTCCCTCGAAATGCCCTCACATGGCCACACGTATACAGCCACTGCCAGAGAAGTCCTCGCAGCGGGGTTGTTTACGAAATTAAGAGGACGAAATGCGAATTTCCGGTACTTTAACCAGGTTGGTGGATATGAAGGATACACCTTTGGGAGTTGGAAAACCCTGATTCCAAACCAATGGTGCACTTGGGCTCCAGGATTCTGCCCACACACAAATTAAGTGACTTGTGTGGCGCATATGTATTCGGTGCCTCTTTGTATCAATATTTGTGTTCACATAAATAGAACAAATAAATTCACTGAACTTTTGTTCTGTAGGTGATGTGCACCTGTTTCTTATACAATAGTTTCTTTGATATTACCGTTCTCTTCTATTCTTGATCTTTAGGTTATTTATTTTATCTTTCGGCAAACTGGTTGGCACCTGAATTTACAGTCACTCATCACACACTGCACAATGGACGAAGAAGAACTTTCTTTTATACCCTACAGCACATCTTACGTGTATGTTTCGGCTAGTTATGTGTAAAATTGATAATGTAGTTATATATATATATATATATATATATATATATATATATATATAATACATGCTTATAGCTGCAGTACTATCGTTTAATGTCCAATCGTAGCATGAGCTAAATCGTACTGAAACGGTTAATTACAATTAGCTTGAGAAGTATAAACTAACGTATTATTAAATGAAGTAAACACCTATGGCTTTCATTCGAAACTACTTTTTTATATTGCATCTAAAATACTTGTGTATTATTGTTTTAAATCCATTATTTAAAAAAAATTTAGGTGGAAGCCCCCAATAAAACTATCTGATTGCTCGTCTGAATATCTCCAAAATTGTCCTGTTGACTACAGTCTTTTGGAAAACCCCTTTGCTTCCAAACCAGACGTGTATAATGCCGAACAGGAAGCAAAATTATGGCAAGGATTGGGTATATTAACAACCAGTACTAGTGTGGTCGATAGTGAGAAACCGCCGAGTGAGGTTAGCTGATTAAACATTTGGTTTTATGAAGTTAATACTATTTGTGTTGGTATGAATCTTTATGGATGAAATTGGGTAAGACAATATCCTCCGTATTCGATTGTGCTTTCATTCATCTTATAGTATCTGATTAACCTGTTTACTCTACTTCTATGTGATCTAGTATTATTACTGACAGGATCAGTAATTGTTCTCTGCTTTATTTGTCAGTACGTTACTAGCATTAATATATTCCGGTTGGGATTCAGAACTGACTTGAAATAGTGAAACAATTTATCGTACTTTGCGAATCATTAGTAACATGTACTAATTGTGGTTGCAATTTAATAGTTGTGAAACGGTGGCTAGAAAATTTAACCTTCAATCAATAAATCACAAGTTCAAACCTCGTAAATACTTCGGTCTGTGTATCTAGTAATGTCAGCACTTTTCATTAGAAAGTGTGACTCATAGCTGAGTACTTGAACCTGTACTTGATAAATGAGCTGTATTTGTGGCCATTTGACCTACTCTTCTCTTAGGAGATATATGTTCATCAGTTAAAACATTCCTTGAAGAATAAATCGGTTACTCAATATATATATATATATATATATATCTTTTGATTATTGTATTCTTCTCTTTAATATTTTTCTTGTTTTGATTTTATGTTTTTGTAAAATTGCATTCTAATTTTGTGTGACGCATTTGTTGGTTCCTTAATAACTTGAAATAACGAAATGATTACTGTTTTTCTTTCTGGAAAGAATCCTTATTACCTAACAGCAGTACCTGGTCTCCACAGCAAGCGGGAATTGAAACGAATTCGTCGAGTGAGTTCTGACACTTTTTAAAGTCGTAAGTCCGATTTTCTGTACAAGCGTATGTATTTTAGCCTTCTTTTACCCTCGTCTACTGATAAGTTACTAATGTAATCATAAATGCTATTCCACGAAGGCTTATCTTAAAAGACAGCTGAATCATGATGAGGTCTTGGTGATTGAGTAGTGTATGAAAGTTACAGTTACCTGAATTGAAATCACCACGTACGATTCAAAGATAACCAATGAGGACAGTGACATCAAATCCAGTGCACTAGTCAGCAAAAATGGATATTGTAGATGAAGTGCATTAAAGATTCATATATACATCGAATGGAATTATGAACATCAGGTGGTTGATGTAATCATTTAAAAACCTAAAACGCATATAGTTAAACTCACCTCAGATCATATTTACGAGCGTAGCAACACTAACACTGCACTTTGTATTTTTCAGGATTGAAATTCAGACGGTAAATCTTGAAACTATGTAGTAATGCCAAATTATCATCATAGAAATCATGTAACCAAGATCCTTGAATTATATTCACATAACAGTTACAGTACATAGTTATGCATATAAAGATTGGAGATAATTCACTCCTAACAGTTATTTTCTATCAAAAACTATTTGAGGTGCAGATATTCATTCCTTTTAGTGTATGTCTCCAGCCACTACGAAACTTCTTGAACTTTAGGTATTTAGCATGTCGGTTAGTTGTGTTGTATCTCTTCTAGGGCTACTGCAGGTCTCAATCCCCAGTAAAGGATGAGGGTTGGGCATGGGGTCAGCATTGCCATCCCGTAGAAAACAACCTTGCTATAAACAGGCTAACCAGAATAAACAAATCAAATCATTTAAACTCTGCCAACAGAGTTGAAGGAGGAATTATGATGCCTCATGGTGAAAACCGATATTTCTCAGTAGTCACAAGGCCGATATGTTTTCTAACAACCAGAGCAACAATTAGTATAAGTGCATGGAATGTCCGGACAATGTGAGAGACCGGAAGGATTAACCAAATATCTGGGGAAATGAGGAGATAAGACTTGAAGGTGTTCGAAATCAGTGAAACCCGTTGGACCCAAGCTGGGCAGAAAATGATAGGTTCAGGAGAGATGCTACTGTGCTGTAGTCACGAAGAAGAAAATGCTTCGCATACTCACGGAGTTGCTTTGATGCTGTCCAAAGGAGCATGTGAAGCACTTATAGGATGAGAATCTCGTAGACCCAGGATCATCAAAACATCTTTCAAAACAAATGAGGGAATCACAATGAATGTTATCCAACGTTATGCACCCACCAATGATAGCAACGACAACGATAAAGATCAGTTTTACGAGAGGCTGTAATCTCATAGCAAAGTGCTCATGAAAAGGAGCACTGGGGCAGACAATCAGAAATACGTAGAAGAGCTAGCAACGACAGTGGAAGAGCTGCAACAGAAGAAAATATCAGACAACTATATGACACAATGAAGAAACCGACAGGGAAATATAGTAAACGAGAGAGACCAGTCTAGGACAAAGAAGGAAAGCCAATCACTGAAACTGAAGAACAGATGAATAGATGGGTAGAACACTTTGAGGAGCTCTTGAATCGGCTAGTTCCATTAAATCCACCGGACATCGAAGCAGCGCCTATAGACCTTCTTATAGATGTCACCCCACCAACGGTCGAGGAAGTCGGGATAGCCATCAGACAAATGAATAGTGGGGAAGCAGCAGGACCTGACAATATACCAGCTGAAGCACTGAAGTCAGACATAGAAGCAACTGCAAACATGTTACAAGTCCTATACATGAAGACTTGGAAGGAGGAACAAGTGCCGACGAACTGGAGAGAAGGATACCTCATCAAGATACCAAAGAAAGGAGATCTAAGCAAATGTGAAAACTACAGAGGTATCACACTACTATGGGTACCAGGAAAAGTTTTCTAAAGAGTATTGCTGAACTGGATGAAAGATTCAGTAGACACCGTACTTCGAGATCAACAGACCGAATTCCGTAAGGATCGGTTGTGCACAGACCGAATCACGACACAATGGATCATTGTTGAACAATCAACTAAATGAAACTCGTCACTATACATCAGATTCCTTGACTATGAGAAGGTATTTGACAACGTCGAAAGGATAACCTTATGGAAAATCGTCTACATCATAAGGAATTCATACGACGGACTACACTGCAAAGTGGTGCGTGAGAGATAGCTGACAGATGCAGACCGCTCACTTTTCCTCTTTTTTCTGGTGGTTGATTTGATTATGAAGACTTTGACATCTGTGGGGAAGAACGGAATACAATGGACAACTTAGATAGAAGTAGACAATTCGGACTTGTCGAATGACTCAACCCTTCTATCCCATACATACGAGCAAGTGCAGGTCAAGATAACCATTATGGGAGAGGCCTCTCCATCAGTAAGCCTCAACACACACATGGGAAAAAGCAAGATCCTTAAATACAACATGGAGAACAACAACCCAATCACACTTGATGAAGAAGTTCTGGAAGAGGTAGAAACCCTTACATATCTGGACAGCATCACCGATGGACAAGGAGGATCTGATGCAGACCGAAAATCAAGGATTGGCAACACAGCTGTCAGCCAACATCAAAATCAGAATCTTCAATGCGAACGTGAAGACAGTTCTACTGTACTGGGCTGAATCTTGGAGAACTGTCACCACCATCATCAAAAAATCGCAAGTATTTATAAATAATTGTCTACACGGGATACTGAATGACCGTTTGCCGGATACCATTAGCAACAGTCTACTGTTGGAGAGAACAAACCAGCTGAAGAGAAAATTAGGAAAAGGCGACGGAGGTGGATAGGACATACATTGTGGAAATCATCAGACTGTATGGCGAGATAGGCGCTAACTTTGGTTCTCGAAGGGAAACGGAAAAGAGGAAGATTAAAAAAACACTAAGTTGAGAATTGGAAGCAGACATTAAAAGGATAGATAGCAGCTGGAAACAACTGGAATGGATTGCTTAGGGTAGAGTTCGATGAAGAATTATTATGGGTGGCTGGTTTTCCTCCACAAAGGGTAACAGGTTTAAGTAAAAATTAGGTATTGGTAAGTGGTACGGTTGTCTCACACAACTGGTTTTTAAAGCAGACACAGTAGGCATGCAATTTGTTGGAATATTTAGGTAACTTACCAAATAAGTAGCTCTACTTTGCAAGAGAAACAGTAAGTTGTTAGTCGTCAGTAAAAAGGCCGTTATTTCCGTTAAAATAATGTTTTACGTTTATCAGGCGTTAAATTACACCTGTTTTGATTTTTGTCTGTAGGCTGAACGCAAAAGCAAACTGTCAAACTGGTTTGATCTTCCGAGACCTGATGTCACTGAAGAAGATCGTGATGATTTAGAATTAATTAGATTACGTCGCGCTATTTCATCAGATACACACGTGAGAAGATCGGATGGGAAGTCTGCTTACTTCCAGGTAAATCATTGTGGATTTATGCTATTTCGGTATGATATTTATCTGTTTTTAGCTTCTTATTGCTGCGATATTTTTATACACCCAAGTCATATTTTTTAATAGTTATAAAAATATAAGCAGTTGTTCCTTCAAGATGTTGTTGTATCAACCTTGTATAAATTAGTGTGTTGGTAATTTTTTATTTCTGGATTCGAGTTATATAAATCTACTGTTGAATTAACGGGCATATAAAGATTTCAAAAAAAGCATCAATAAATAAATCCCTTACTATTCAACATGTACGTAAAGATGTACAATATAATATTAAAAACATTCTGTTTTCGACTATCAGGTTCTTGGTCTAAATCTCTCTCTCTCTCTCTCTACTTGGGTTATGGCAGATAAGCATCAGCTCTAGGCTTCACACATAACTCCCAAACCACAATCCTTTATTTGGTTAATGAGTTTTAATACTTATTTATTTTATTTCCTTCCGTTTGTAGGCAGTAGTTGACTCATTTCAAATCATTTTGTCTGCTATCTGTTTAAAAAAATTTGTGTTGAAACTTACTATTTCATTGAAGGATCTTTTTTCCAACTATTGTACAGACATTTGAACTTATTAATTTTTAAGTTTTCGTTACTATTTCGTTTTCTACATAATTTATTCATGAGGATTACTAACTCTGACCTCAAAGTTTTGTTTCCGTGTTAGAATGCCGTGTGTGTTTTCACATAAAACACTGTTTTGTTAATGACAACTTTTTGTAGGGTTATTTAAATTTCGCGTATTGTTGGGTGTAGGCTTTAAATAACATGATTAAGTCCATCTCTACATATTTACTGTTATCTGTCTGTGTATATAGTTTTTCCTTCTGTGATATCTTATTTTTATAATGCTTGACTGATTAAATTCCATGCCGATTTAGTTGAACTAGTTACTAACTATTATCTTAATTACCTTGTAAGAAACAAATCACGTTATCTTAACTGTCTTCTCTCCCTTTAATAATTTGTTTTAGAGAGGTGTAGTTGTAGATGATCCTGGAAGCTTCTACGATAGACTGCCGCGAAAACAAAGAGGGAAAACACTTGTAGATGAGCTGCTAGCTAATGCTGAAATTATGAAGTAAGTTTAGTTTGCTTTTGTGTTTGTTGTCGAATACTTGATTGATAGTGTATTGCTTTATCTAAGGAAGTTACTTCTGAATAACTCAGGAAATATTTCGTATTCATTTACACAACTTACCTCTTAGTAGCGTAAAATGTATATCTCATTATTGACTTACTTGCTTACGCCTGTTACTTCCAATGGAGCATAGGTCGCCGACCAGCATTCTCCAACACACTCTGTCCTGGGCCTTCTTTTCTAGTTCTATCCAATTTTTGTTCATTTTTTCCCATGTCTGTCTCCATTTCTCGGTGTAATATTATCTTTGGTCTTCCACTTTTCCCTTGACCTTGAGGATTGTTTTGTGACGCAGTTGGGTGATTTCTTCAATGTGTGTCCTATCCACTCCCAGCACTTCTTCCTGATTTCTTCCTCCTCTGGGATCTGGTTTGTTTTCTCCCACAATAGGATGTTGCTGATAGTGTCTGGTCAACGGATCCGAAGTATTTTGCGTAGACAGCTGTTAATAAACACTTATATCTTCTGGATGATGGCTTTCGTGGTTCTCCAGGTTTCCGCCCCAGTAGACAGTAGAATTGTTTCGACCTTTGTATTGAAAATTCTGACTTTGGTGTTGATTGACAGTTTTCTCGAGTTCCAGATGTTCTTCAATTGTAGATATGCTGCTCTTGACTTTCCGACCCGTGCCTTCACATCTGCATCAGATCCACCGAGTTCATCAATGATCCTGCCCAGATATGTAAAGATTTTTACATCCTCTAAATCTTCTCCATCATGTGTGATTCGATTGGTGCATACTGTGTTGTATCCCCGACCGTTGTTGCTACCTTGACGTGGTGGTCGGGCTTGCCTATCGTGATGACCCAACCGAGCTATACTGGCTGGAACAACCGTTCCTCAAGGTCCTACCATGTTAGACAGGTCGGTTGAAGAGCGGTAAGACTAAAAGCAACAAACCCAAGGTCCGAAGGCGAAGTCGTACTGCTGACTGTACAGAGGTGTGACAGCAGTAAGGTGTTTCCTTCAGACAACCAGCATGACAGCGATGCTGCCTTCCCACAAGGAGGGGTGGGGTTAGAAAAGGTCGACCCTAAAAATGCACACCTCGGCTTATCCCACGGATATCCGTCTCCGGCGGTAAGGTCTCAATAAGTACGGAGCTAACACAAAAATTACCCATAACAAGGTCGTGTGTGACCGACCTCGAGCAGTTGTCCCTTGGGCACTGCGGTCACGCTCTCAGGTCACTAAGACCACCTTTAATCCAAACTCCTTTTCAGATACCCCCAGAACAACCCTTCCACGGTGTGGGCAACCGGGAAGTGATAACCGCCCTTACATCTCTAGCAGCACTCAAGACCACTGTATTCATAATCAACCTCCCTCTTCAATTCCTATTATTCCTCCTACATCGACTTTCACCTTTAAATTTCCTCTCTCGGCTTCCACCTCAAGTGTCACCATAGCCAACGATTCTAGTGCGCAAAATACTGTCCCAGGTCTACTGAAACCTCGCTCCAAACTACACATTGGAGCCTTCAACGTACGAACCCTATGTCAAATCGGTCAGCAGGCTTCCTTGGCTAAAACCCTAGAGTCTCTTACCATTGACGTGTGCTGTGTCTCCGAAACACGCATACAGGATCCCAGTGTGGTCACTCACTTGACCTCACCTCGACAAAACGGAGAGCCAACAAGATACACCCTCCGTGTATCTGGTGACCCAACGGCCGGCTCTCGTGGACTGGCAGGTGTAGGCATAGCACTAAGCATGAGGGCGGAACAAGCACTGCTAGAGTGGATCCCCGTCAACAGTCGTCTATGTGCTGTTCGGCTGAACGGCTACGTAAGAACTCGGAAGGATAGGAACACACGTCGTTGCCTTTTTGTCGTTTCTGCCTACGCTCCCACTGACTGCAGCTCAGATGATGTGAAAGATGAATTTTACAGAAAGCTGTCCGAACTTCTTCAGAAAGCTAAACGCTCAGACATAGTACTCGTAGCAGGTGATTTTAATGCTCAGATAGGCAGTTTAAACCAAACAGAAAGGCATTTAGGTGGATATTTTAGTATTCCGGCACAGCGAACAGATAATGGTGATCGTCTGCTGCAGCTATGCTCAGACAATCGTTTATTTTTACCGAACACAAATTTTAAGCATAAGGAGAGACATCGTCTAACATGGCGACCCACTACACCAAACCAACGATGGACTCAAATAGACCATATTGCCATCAGTCATCGTTGGAGAGGGTCGATAGAAGATTGTCGCTCATTCTGGAGTACCTGCTTAGACTCCGACCACGCCCTAATACGGGCACGCATCTGCTTGCGCCTCACTGGACGCAAAAAAGCCACATTAAAAAGACCCGTTAGAACTGAGTTGAGTAACGAGAAAACCAAAAGTAGGTTTCAGGAACAACTGAGGTCACGAGGCTGACCCAGATGTTGCTTGGAAGGGCATACAATCAGCTGTGGAAACAGCAGTGACATCTATTAGTGACTTAAACTACAGAGTTACAAGGAACCAGTGGATTTCTTCAAAGTCTATCACACTGATGGATTCTCGTAAACTCGTCCCATCAGGTTCTGAACATGATGAAGAGCGTAAACAAATCAGATCTAGATTAAGAAAAAGTCTAGGAAACGACCGTGAGCAGTGGTGGGTAACGAAAGCAAAAGAGATGGAAAAGGCGGCGACTATAGGGAACACAAGACAGCTTTACAGACTAATAAAAGAAACTGGAATTAATAAGTCAAGTGTAAGTGAGATTATATCGGAAAAAGACGATACACTCATCTGCTCCAAGTCCAGACGTTTAGAACGATGGGCGGAACATTTTAGAGAACAGTTCAGCTGGCCTTCAGCTTCTCTACAACTACCCTCCATTCCCAGACAATGTGAATGGAACATTGATGTAGGTCCCCCAACTCTTGCTGAAGTTCAAAAGGCTATAGCTAATCTGAAACGAGGAAGGGCAGCTGGTCCAGATGGATTGGCTCCAGAGGTCTTTAAGGATGGTGGTCCAATTTTAGCCATTAGGTTGACTAATATTTTAGCTAAGATCTGGGAATTAGACTTTATCCCATCTGACTGGTCGCAATCACTTATCGTCCCAATATATAAGAAAGGGTCAAAATCATCCTGTGACAACCACAGAAGGATTAGTTTAACAAACATAGTATCTAAAATACTGGCCTCGATAATTATCAAACGCCTAACTAAGACTCGTGAACTACAAACTCGAGAGAACCAAGCTGGCTTTAGACCTGGTCGTGGCTGCGTCGACCACATATTCACCATTCGTCAGGTTCTAGAACACAGGCATACCTATCGGCGTCCGACGATGGTGGTCTTTCTTGACTTAAAAGCAGCATTTGACTCTGTAGACCGCGAGACTCTGTGGCAGTGTCTGTCATTGAAAGGCGTACCTCAGAAGTACATAAACCTTGTGAAGGCTCTTTACTCGAACACTACTAATCGAGTCAGGGCTTATGGCGAACTGTCATCTACTTTTGCAACCTCAAGTGGTGTCCGTCAAGGCTGCCCACTTTCTCCATTTTTGTTTAACTTCATCATAGACCTATTGATGGAAATAACATTCTCGTCGACTGAATTCTCGGGTATTGATCTCCTTCCAGGAGGTCCACTTATCGACTTAGAATACGCAGATGACATAGTCCTGTTCGGGGAAGACGCTGACAAAATGCAGAGTCTTTTGGTAGCACTAAGCAACAATGCCAGAATGTTTGGGATGCGCTTCTCTCCCTCTGAATGCAAGTTGTTGCTTCAGGACTGGTCTGTATCAGCACCTTAACTAAGGATAGGCAGTGAAGTGGTCGAACGCGTTGACAACTTCACTTATCTTGGAAGTCTGATCAGCCCTAATGGGTTGGTGTCTGACGAAATCTCAGCACGGATTCGAAAAGCTCGTTTGGCTTTTACCAACTTACGTCACCTTTGGCGGAGGCGAGATATCCGTCTATCAATAAAAGGACGAGTATATTGCGCGGCAGTTCGTTCTGTTTTAATTTACGGCAGCGAGACATGGCCCTTAAGAGTAGAAGACACCCGTAAGTTACTAGTATTTGACCACAGATGCCTTAGAAATATTGCTGGCATCTTCTGGGATCACCGGGTAAGTAATAGTGAGGTTAGACGCAGGGTATTAGGGAATGATGGTAAATCAGTTGATGAGGTTATTAATCTCCATCGACTGAGATGGTTGGGCCACGTATTACGTATGCCTGAACACCGATTACCACGACGTGCAATGCTAACCGGTGTAGGGGATGGTTGGAAGAAAGTTAGGGGCGGCCAAACCAAAACGTGGCATCAGTGCCTGAAGTCACTAACTTCTAGTCTGAGCCATGTCGGTAGATGCAGACTACTTGGTTGGGGTCCGCGTGACAATCGTAACCAATGGTGGGAGACTCTTGGTGACATGGCTCAGAATCGATCACAATGGCGTCGGTGTATAGACTCCTTGTCTTCCCTTAAACTAAGAGATTAAAATCACTTCATATCTTTCTTTCTACGAACTAATTCTTTCTTCCTATACTATATCCTTATTGCAATCTTTCTCCTATATATTACCACCTTTGACCTAACCACTCCTATGAATCCGCTGTTCATCTTGCTGTGCTAATGAGGTATGGCAACCTGGACCGATGCACATATGTGCCTGGTCCTACGTTGTAGCTGACTGACTGACTGACTGTGTTGTATCGGAGAATCTTGCTTTTCCCTTTGTGTATGTTGAGACCTACTGCTGGAGCATCTGCAGCTGTACCGGTCTTCTCCTGCGTTTGTTGTTATGTGTGCGACAGAAGAGCCAGATCATCTGCGAGGTCTTGGTCGTCCAGCTGCATCCTAGCTATCCACTGTATCCTATGCTTCCCCTCAGACGTTGACGTCTTCATGATCCAGTCGATCACCAGGAGAAAGGGGAAGGGTGTGAGTGAGCAACCTTGTTTGACACCGGACCAATAAAGACTCTAGACTGCTCGTACTTGTTTTATGCATCATTGGTCCGGTCGATAATTCACTATTCTCTAATTGATGGTATCATTACGTCATACATTAATATGATTCAGGGCACAAGTTATAACGTAGAACACGAATCTCAGCCTCCGCGATATGAATCATGTATTTCAAACATACTGGGTTTATATATCAGCCATAAAATAGAAAATAACATTTGTAAAAGATTCAGCCATATTTGGTTGTGAATGTGGGAGATAGTAATTGATAGACAGGGCATAAATCAAGAATGATAAATCGTATAATAATAGTTCATAGGTCAAAATAAAGTTTATGATAAGGGGAACACGAATATGAGTAGTTTAGTTACTTGACAATTATACGATAAAAATATATGTATAGTATTAGTCCAGTAATAGACTCCAACAGTTAGCAATCATTATTCTCGTTGGGATATATCAGTTGAAGTGTATGGGGAATGATTCTAGGTTTTTAAGTTCGGTTACGATTCTTTATAAATACAAAGAGAGCATACTTCCTCACATTAATTACTTTGATTCGTAGTTTAGTAGTAAAGATATTTCTCTTTACCTACCAGAAATAATTTCACGATGCATAGTGATCTTTCTGGTGGTAGTTTTGTTGGAGAGGAACTCTTGAAAAATACGTTTGATGCAAGTTTTGCTACTCTTTATATTTAGTAACTGTTGATTATTTTTGAGTTTCCAAACAATTTTTTGTCATCAGTAGGCTTATCTGGGACCTTAGAGAGTGAAGTAGTTGATTGTTTCTACCATTTCATCTCCTCAGTCAGTTAATGCCATCATGTTTTACATACCATCGATATAAGTTCTTGACACTGGTAGATCACCATTACTACACCTGTACTGTTAAGTTATCCATCTAGCCACATGTACGATTTTAACTCATCACTGTTACGTTTGAATACCCAAAGCCTTTGGTGGTATATTCTTAAATAAATAATTTAAGGAGTATGCATGAGGTTATAGGGAATACAGTAGATGATAATGCATAATAATTAAAATGCTTCAGTTAAATTCTACATATATTTATTATTCTGTTCGACCATCACTAAAAATGAAAAGCAACAATGGCTCTCACGTAAGCTACCAAAATGTGCTGAGGTGTGAATAACTATTAACTATTTTCAAGCATTTAGATATCTCCGTTTACAAACCGATAATGCGTCATTTACTGCCTGAAAACTATTGCAATGAGTGCGTTTCTTGCATCTTCTTGATTCTCATTGTTTTTATTCGGAGTACATGACTCAATATTTCTAGTCATATTAGTTAGTGAAGGGTAATGTTTACCTATTCATTGTCACAATTTTTCTAGGGCTCAACGGAAACGATATGCCAAGATTGCACGTGCTATGGCTGAAAAACGGGCTGCTATCAAAAGAAAAGAGCAACAACAAATGAAGCGCTTAAAAACTGGTCGTAAAAAACAACAAGCAACAGTTGTTGTTCGTGAATGATTCATTTGTGATTAAGCCTACAGTTTGTACATATATTTGTGGATTAAATCGCGTTCAATTGTATCTTTCCATGTTTTTAGAATCAGGGTATTCCAGAACATCTTCAGTTATAATTATTATAGTACATAAGAGTACTGAAAGTACTGATTATATCTGTCGTGAGTCTAATTTGACTTCAAATTTTACAGTATGCTGAAGAATAATGTGTAGACTCACGTACATCAAAATAAGACTCACATTTATTGTACAAGGGTAAGCCTAAATATCTAGCATTTTGAACATAAAACTGCGTAATTGATAATTCGAAGTAGGAATAAATAAACGTCCATGAATTAGCAAAATTGATAACTATGTTTTCAGAGTCACTCCATTTTCATGGTCTTCTATGTACTTGAATTCACTGAAACATTCGATTACATAAGAGCGATTCATATACCTAGTCAATAAGACAGATTATCCTGTATATATCTTATGGCCATTCTACATCTGTAAGTTACGGTAATAATAAACTAATCGCTCATTAGATACTAATTTCGTTTGCACACGGCTGTCATTTTAGTTGCAGGTTAGGTAATGAGAATGAAATACCTTGTTTATGAGCAAAAGCTGTTTGTGACAATATTTTGAAGACTATCCTTTCTAGTCGAATTAAACTCAAGCAATTCATAAGATACGGTGAAACTGTTGACGCAGGGTTTTGTGGACTCCTTAATTTAAATGAAAATTTTCAACAACCTGACCGACACCAATTTATCTAAACATGATAGATGCGAAAAGGGTTTTACGTTAAGTTTCATAAACTTCAAGCAAGAATGATATGTTTTCCTGTTTAAAATTGTAAAGTTGTCCCGTTTTATCCGAGTTATTAGCGGGTAACCTAGCATTATTCGTACTACCGACTACAGTGATCATCATCTTGAGTTAGGAATGATCGATATAATGTTTCAACTGGCATGGTAGTTTGAAAATGTTATCTACAGTATTTTATTTCTTTCTGTGATTGATATAAGATCAGCTATAAATTGCATACATGGATTGTTTCCTATTTAGGTTTTTTGCATAGGATTTAGGCAAAAACTAAATACATACTGCTGACCCTTCATTTAATGTGCGTGATGTATCACGTGATAGCGTATCCATCCATATGAAGAATATTCACTTAATGTTTATTAGCATTCTGTGTTGTATTACTTAATCCAAAGCAAGTGTGTATTCAATCATTACCTATAGTGTAAGTGTATGGCGCTCCTAAAATCTCCCATTTGTATGTGCCCATATTGAATGTATTATCACTGTTATTCGCGTCTGAATTGGAAGAGGGAGGAATCAAAGTCGAGTGGAATCGGATTTGATCTACTTAAAGAGTGGAAATGCATTTACTGAGCTTTGTTTGATCAATTATTCGGTTTGTTTCAAATGCATGGTCAGATTCGTCCATTCATCATACTACTTAAAGTACTTAAAGTAGTTTATTCATATCACAAAAAACTAAAATTCATCACCAAGCATTTGGACGAGTCCCTATCCCGAAGCCTACAATCTGCTTGGGTTCAATAAAAAGGAAAGCGTTTCCTAAGTCCTCGCATAGTACATACACCACTTTCTAATGACTTTTTGTGTTCTTATCTTTCGGGTGGCATTGGTGATCCGTTTAACTGTGAATGACAAGAAACTCGTTTAACAATTCGAAAGAGCAGTTGTTACACGATTGTTATGGATACTTGTTTCTACAGTAAATAATGGCAAAAATATATGTAGTTTTTCGGGAAAATAATACAGAGCAAAATTAAAGCACAATAGTTCTCTGTTATTGAAAAAGGTAAAAATGAGTAGTGTCAAAATAAGTGAATGAAACCACATAATATAAAATAGCCTTATGTCAAAATATTGACAATCAGTATTTAACAGCTTTTCTGTTCTTCGTACAGATTTTTAATGGTATTTGCAAAATGTTTTCGTAGATTTATCCTTGCAAGTTTCATTGTTGGAGTTAACCATCCATTGTCTACTGTGAACGGTTCTGGTGTTAAGTAGATATTGCGGGCCTGTATTTAAGGGTAAAACATTTAAGAATTATATATTTATAATTACACCAACATCACTTGTTTTGATTGGCGATTACGTCACTTTAAAAAGTGCTTAATGGTTGACAGTTTCATTCAGAAACTGATAATTGGCGTTTATATGTGCGACTGAAGCTCACTGTTTATGAAAAAATAAGACAAAAATCATTTAACCTTCTGAGCATTAGTTTGAATGAAAACCACACCCGATCCTTTCATCCTGTAGTTGTCTTGGACGTTAAGTCTTATGTCCCGACTGTTGCTGCTATCTTGACGTGATGGTCGGGCTATACCGCCTGGAGCATTCGTTCTTTGAGGTCCTAGTATGTCAAGCAAATCAGTTGAAAAACGGTTAGGCTGAAGGCAGTGAACCCAAGGTCATAGGTCGAAGTCGTACTGCTGACTGTACAGAGATGTGACGGCTGTAAGGTGTTTCCCTCGGACAACCAGCACGACAGCGATGCTGCCTTCTCACAAAGGAAGGGTGTGGTTAGAAAAGGTCAAACTTAAAAATGCACAACTCGTCTTATCCCATGAATTTCCATCCTCGACGGTAAAGTCTCAACAGATACGGAGCTAACACGAAAATTACCCACACAAACGTCGTGTGTGGTCTGTCTCAAGCAGTTGTCCCTTGGGAATTGCAGTCAGGTCCTCAGGCCACAAAGACCGACTCTAACTCCATTTCCTTTTCGAGTACCTCTATAAGGACTTTTCCACGAAGTGGGCGACCGGGAAGTCATAGATGCTCTAGTACCTCTAACAGCATTCAAAACCACTGTATTCATAATCAATTTCAATTTATCAGGGGACCCTGTGGCATCGTCTGGTCTTGCTGGCATTGGTGTCGCACTAAGCGCTAGAGCTGAGGCAGCACTAATCGATTGGATCCCCATTAACAGTCGGTTATGTGCTGTTAGATTAGAAAGTTCCATCAAAGTGAGAAGAAATTGGCGTGAGAAACGATGTCTTTCGTCATCTTCGCCTATTCTCCGACAGATTGCAGCCCGAATGCCACCAAGGATGAGTTTTACCACCAACTAACAGTTCTACAGAAAGTTCATTAGACAGATATTGTAATACTAGCCGGAGACTTGAATGCTCAGGTCGGGCGTCTAGGCACAGAAGAGAGTCGTTTAGGTGGCCGATGGGGACATGTTGGTCGCAGGACAGATAACGGGGACTGTCTACTGCAACTGTGCACAGACCACAACCTGTTTCTGGCTAGCACTAACTTCCGGCATAGTCATCGCCGATGTGCCACCTGGGGTCCTTCCTCTGCATTTCAAGCCTAGACTCAGATTGATCACATCGCGATCAGCTACCGCTGGCGTGGTTGTGTACAAGGCTGCCGCTCCTTTTGGAGTACCTATCTGGACTCTGATCATGCCCTGGTCTGCGCCAATCTTACCTTACTTTTCAGTGGCCAACGAAGTGACCGTCACCAAAAGATTGATGTCAGCAAGTTGGTTACAACTTCTGTTGCAAGTAAGTATCGAACCGAGCTAGCTCCTAGGTTAGCTACCATTCCACCGAGTAGTAAAGATGAGCATTGGTTGCAGCTGCATGACGCCATGAAAATGGCGAGTAAAGCCGCTTGCGAAACGTCCCTCTTATAGGCACGACTCCCTGGCTGGGGTCCAAGGGATGGTGCAACACAGTGGTTTGAAACGTGATCGGACATGACTCAAAATAGAAGCCAGTGGCGATCCTGCTGTAACCTTCTTTTACTTCCTTCATAAAAAATGGTTGTATCTTCCTTAACTGAAAGATTTCTTCCGATTGCACTTTTCCATTTCCCTCATTATTACTATTATTATTATTTTTATTACTATAACACTACCTTACACTAATCTGTTCGTTATTGTTCTTTTTCTACGCTCCTTACTTTTTTTCTTTTCGAATTCTCATTGTTTTGTGTGGCGCGTATATATTTGGTGCCCTCTTGTACCAATATTTATGTGTTCAAATAAATAGTAAATAAATCCTGTGTGAAATCGGTCGGCAAGCCCCCTTGACTAAGATTCTAAAATCTCGTACGATTGATGTGTTCTGTCTTCGAAACACACATACAAGATCCTAGTGTAGTCATTTACTTGACTTCATCTAGCCAAAGTGGGGAGCCGACGAGACACATCCTCCGTCTGTCTGGCGATCCGATGGCAAGTTCTTGTGGACGGACGGAGGTAGACATAGCACTAAGTATGATGGAAGAACAACTTTTAGAATGGATCTCCGTTAACAGTTGCTTATGTGCTGGTCGGATTAATGGCCCCCTAAGAACTCGTCATTCCTGCCTACGCTCTCATCGACTGCAGCACGGATGAAGTGGAGAATGGATGCTACACAATGAAAAGCGAAAACAAATGAGGTCTAAATTTATCAAAAGTCTAAGGAGCGATCGCAAACAGTGGTGGACGACGAAAACAAAACAGATGGAAAAATCAACGGCTGTAGGTAACCGTAATTAAGAATTCAAGTGTGAGATAATCTCGGAAAAAGTCGGCATTCTTATCTGCTCTCTCCAGACGTTTGGGACGATGAGTGCAGCAGTTCAGCTGCTCTACAGCTAACCGCCATATCCAAATAGCTTGAATGTAACATTGAAGTAGGCCTCCGACTCTAATTGAAATTCATAAAGCTATAGCTGATCTGAAACAAGGAAGAGCAACTGGTCCAAATGGATCAACTCTAGAGATCTTTAAGGATGGCGATCTAGATTTAGCGATTAAGTTGATTGAACGTTTAGCTAAAATCTGGGAGTTGAACGTAATCGTATATATCATATACATAGTTCCCTTGATCATTTAAAAAAAAGCAAGAACAAGCAATTCATGTTATTCCGCTAGAACCTTTGTTCTTGCTCTTTTCGTAATCGTATATAACTGGTCGCCATCACTGATCGTTCCAATATATAAGAAACGATCAAAATCATCTTTTGATGACCATATAGGATTTAGTTTGATTAACATAACATCTAAAATACTAGTAGACCCGTGAACTGCAAACACGAGAAAATAAGGCTGGCTTCAGACATAGTCGCAGCTGCATCGACCTTATATTCACTATCCGTCAGATATAAGAACACAGCCATGCTCATCGGAGTCTGACAATCGTGATCTTTCTTAACTTAAAAGCAGCATTCGACTCGGTAGACCGAGGGGTTCTGTCTGAGTGTCCGTCATTGAAAGGTGTACCTCAGAAGTACATGAACCTTGTGAAGGCTCTTTACCCGAACACCACCAGTCGAGTCAGAGCTAAAGCTGAATGTTATCTGATTTCGCATCCTCAAATGGTGTCTGAAAACGATGTCCATTATTTAATTTCTGTTCGATTTCATCATAGGCCTACTGCTGGAAATAACGTTCTCGTCGACTGAATTTTCGGGAATTGATCTCCCACGAAGAGGCCATCAGGATGTTAGAGATGCGTTTCTCCCCCTCTAAATACAGATTGATACTTCAGGACGGACTTGTGTCAGCATTTAAACTAAAGATGTGAAGTGGTCGAACGTTCCGACAGCTTCACTTGTGTTGGAAATCTGGTCAGCCCTAATGGGTTGGTGTCTGAATAAATCTCTGCATGGATTCGAAAAGCTCATTTGGCTCTTGCCAACTTACGTCACCTATGGCGAAGGCAAGTTATCCGTCTACCACTACGGCACAGCAGTTTGTTCTGTTTTACCTCAAGCTTGCGAAACGTGGTCATTAAGAGTAGAGGATACTCGTACGTTACTAGTATTTGATCACAGATGTCTTAGAAATATCGCTTGCATCTGGTGGGATCACCGGGTAAGTAATATTGAGGCTAGACACATGGTATTAGGGAATGATGGTAAATCAGTTGATGAGGTCGTGAATGTACGTTATCTGAAATAGTTGGGCCGCGTATTACGCATGGCAAACTACCGATTACCACGGTGCGCAATGCTGACTAATGTTGGAGACAGATGGAAGAAAGTTAGGGACGGCCAAACCAAAACGTGGCATCAGTCCATAAATTCACTAGCTTCCGGTGTGAGCCGATGTTGATAGATATAGACTACTTGGTCGGGGTCCGCGCAACTATCCTGACCAATGGTTGGAGACTTTGGGTGACATGGCTTAGAATCGATCACAATGGCGTAGGTGTATACACTCTTTTTCTTCACTTAGACTGCAAGATTAAAATTGCTTTACATCCTTCTTTCTACCAACTAATTCTTTCTTCTCGTGCTATATCCTTATGCACAATCTTTTATATATTACTACCATTGAAGTAAATTTCTATGAATTTGGTGTTTATCTTATCGTGCTAATGAGGTATGGCAACTTGGACCGATGCATATATGTGCCTGGTTCTACGTTGTAGCTGACTGACCAAGTCTTTTATGTATCTCCTAATAATCACTGATTAGCAAATAAAACATCAATGTCAGCATTTACTTGCATCTCTCTCTTATAGTCTTGATAGTAACATTATCATTATTTTGTACATACGTTTGATTTAAAATGCCGATTGACGGCAAAGTTAGCGCTTACACAAACATAATATATCGCAATATGTATATTGGTAGTGTCTGGTGACCTTATATAATTCCGATTAATTCAGATAGATGAAATATTTTCAAATATTGTTGTTGCCAATCATAAGAATATGTGTTGGAATGATCGTAATAGTTTAACAAGTTATCTCTACTTCTGTTATGATCGAGTACATAGGTAAGGTCGACCAATATACTTTATTACATAATAACAGAGTTCTTTCATCAAATGTGAAAACCATACGTTCCATACTTCATTTGTAAATCCTCCATCAGTTGTCTCAAACTTCATTGTTCCTTCATCGTCATAACAATTGCTCTCCGTTCCCGTTCTCTTCTCTTCGATCTTCCCAACCTTCCAATGCCAATCATCCCATTTCCGATTGGTGTTAGATACTACTTAAGTCGACATAAGCAGCATACACCGCACTACTAACATTCCCTTTTCAGCAAATAGAATATTCAATTATTTCCTAAAACATTTTATGCCACTACATATTACCTAGATCTTTGTTTTACATAGATTAAAAAATTCCGGGTAAAGTAACAAGCATATTATACTGTCAGCAACATGTCCTCTGTCTATGTATAATTTTAAAAAGAAGAATCTATTATTGTAAACGAGACTAACCAGTTCAAATCCTTTTAAACCTTTTTCTCTAGCAATTAAGTTCATTCTCTCCAAGATAAATTCACGTATTTCTTTACTGGTGCATAATTCAGCATCGGTTATTTCCTCCAGTAATTCTCCATCTTTCATGTTCTCACACTTTTTTCCAATAGGTGATGAATTTTTTGTTGCTAATTTGCTAATAATGTCTACTGCTTCCTTGCGTAATCTTCTAAAGTTTGGTTTAACCACTGCTACTGCATAAGGTTTAAGTGAATGACCTTCAACGTACACATGTTGTATTAGATTACAGAATAAGTAGGTTTGCTCTACTTTCTCTGGTGCTACATATTCTCCTTGTGATAATTTGAATAGGTTTTTCGTTCGATCCACAATTTTTAATGCTCCATTCTATGAGAAACAAAATAAATTTACAATAAAAAAGGTACAGAAATTGTGTTAGGATTCTGAAAATGAAGATTTAAGAGGTGTTATATAGAAAGAATCTGTTGGGAATAAATAATGGGTTGATATATTTGAATACAATCTTGACATTTTACTAAATGATTAGTAAAAATTTACAAACAGTAGGTAATTTCTACCTAGAAAGATACAACTTATCCTATTCTTATTTAGAAACTGGGAAAATACAATGTTTAGTACAACACTGAATATCTCAGCCTAGATTTCGTACTAAGCATTGGTGAAGAGTTCCATAAAAATACTGGAAAACTATAAATTGTTTTTCAATCTACTGCCAATCATTTCCCTAGAATGTTATGCTGAAATAATGTGAACAATTTATTCTTTCACTAAATGAATGACTTCTAGCATCATAGTTTTCATCAAATATCTAACAAAAATATACGGATCCTTACAGTCATCTAAAAAATTATTAGTTAAAATAATTAATCGACTATCTAATACCTATAAAATAAATTTTACCTTACATTATTGGTACCGAAGCAGATCGAATAAATATTGCTTAAATTGAATAAACCATGTATATGTAAATACAATATACCCGTTATTCATGTCGTCAGGTTTTCAAATTCTTTAATTAGTTTTCATAGCTGGTGAATAATATGTGTTTAGATAAAGGAGAATATTTATAACTCAGGGTGAGGATGTTGGAGAAGTTGAACTCTCTTAGCTTAGAGAACTCAATAACTTTGATAAGTGTTCAAGATACGCTTGCTGTTTGTAATGATAACTATCATTATTACTGACGTTAAATGTATGAATTTTATGTGAAGGTATAAAACAAAGGAAATTCAGTTGCAATTAGTTAGTGTTATTTAAACTAACCATATTTATCATAGTTAGACTGATAATTAAACACTCAGGGAAAACGGTGAACCGAAGTAATGCTGTTGTCAAGAGATAGTTAAAATAGAATTTTCTAAAATCTACCAATCCACTTTTATTTTAACATTTATTCATAGAGTGAGCTTAGAATGTTATGATTATTAAAAACAAAATTTCAAATTGTCATTGGATACTTACGACCATATAGTTTTTAAGTTAAAGCATTCCGTCAATGAATTATTTGTGTATGTATTGGTTGAAGGTCTGAACGGAATGCTAAAGTACCAATATGTAAAGGTATTAAGAATGATATAAGTTCTTTAGGTTAATACGTTTTCTAAATCTTGAAACGTGTGAAATATATTCGGTTTCAGAAGAATACAAACACAAATATAGGTGACTCTTAACAGTTCACGGTTTCCATGCTTAATTTTTATGTAGTTTACTAAAATGATGTCTTAGACCAATGACTTTCCGATAGAACAACTATTGATTTAATTGACTAATACTTTGGAATTATTATTGACTTTAATTAGAAAAAAACTTACTTTTAACCAAACTCCAACGTCCCCCGTGTGAACAAAGCCCTCTGAATCAAGGACTTCTTCCGTTTTTTCTTGATTTTTATAATAACCAAGCATATTAGATTTACTTCGAACGCATATCTGAAACGAAAAAAGTTAAGTTTTGTGTATAAAGATGTGTGTGTTTATAAGTTCAGCTAAGTAGGAGTAATTACAAGGTTACATAAATGTTTTACTACGGTTCATAAAATCCTGTGTGTCACAAAATTATAACCCTGTTTATGTAATTTCATCAAGATGACAAGTGGGTTATGTTCAAACATTTTATTGACTAGTATTTCTTTTGATTTTTTTATTTTATTTTAGGTCACACAAAGCTATTTTTAAGTAATCTTCAAAACTGAATGAATATTTTGCTTCTTCATGGTATGTGAGGTGTCACTGAAAAAGTATTAAAATTCACCACTAAAATTTTTCACTTTTGATAGGCAGTAAACATTAATGTTAAACAGAATTTAGCAAAACAGACACATTGAGTACTTCTTTACCATAACTTCAACATAAATAATGATGTAATCATTCATAACATAATTACTTTTCCAGAAATAGTCTGTCTTACTTAAAGTAAACTTTCATTGGTTGTGGACAACTTAAATGACGTGACTGTTTTACATACACTAAAATATTTAGCTCGTGTCTCCATACATTATCCTATAATGCGGATCATTAGTTATGTTGGAAAATAAATTTGTTATGGATAAACAGCACATCATCTATCTGAGTTGAAAACTACACTTTGTTTCTACTCACAACATATTTCACTACTCGTAACTACTACTTTGCTGTTGTTTATTATAAGAGTATACGATATTAAGATCCTATTGCAACCTAGGATGTATTTGACAGAAATACTCAGAATTTTTGCTAAACGATCTCTATCATCTCGAATTATTTAACATCTCTTTAGATGAACGAGCTATGTGCAGACCTTCTTGTCAAAATAAATGACTACTTTCGGCAGAGAGAATATTAATGATGACACCATAAACTGAGGTCTCTTAGGACATTATTTTATTGCTTACCTCTTAACTGTCAAGCAGCTATTACCTTGCTCATTCAGAATACCTTAAAAGCCAAGATCTGTTGTATGTATATTCTGTAAGTGTTATTTAAAAACCTATCGGTTTATCTCATGAACTTATAAAATTTTACGAATACTTAGTGAATGTATGATCTGATAGCTTACTGTACATATGAGCATCTGTTTCACCGGTTATTAATTTGAGTTCGTAGTCATTCACCTCAACCACTTACGGGTAGATATATCATGATGAGAAATATCCTGTGATTAGAAAATACTTAGCATAATGTATAAATGTTTCCATGGGTTACTAAGACTCAGGTGACAAAGTTAACTTAGATCTCGTCAAACTGATATATAATTATTAGAATGTTTTACTATTTATTAAGATGCATGTTTACTAGATTACGGTTAAACGTGAAAACTTGTTTTCTTGGTGTACATAAACATATTTGAAGTGACAAGAGCATGACGTATAAAGCGATTCTCAAAAATGCACGGTTTTTTAGTAATGAAAATTCGTTTTTACAGTTACTTATACTTTATCTACTTATAAAAAAATCAGAGGAAAACGACTTGTTTTTACTTTTTCTAATATATGAATCATTAAACTTGACTTCCTTCTTTCTCTCAACTTATAAATGTTTTAATTATTTCGAATAAAATAAACTAATGTCATGTTTTTACTTCCCGTATTTTATGTATTTTGACCTAGTAGTGAGTAGCCAGTGTCAATGACTAATTTTCAAATTTATTTAATCCTTATAATCGGTCTGTTATTCTCATATCTGGTAGAAACAAAGCTCGACAACTTGATGGTTACTTGGTTTCCTATATAACCGTTTGGATCATCCCATCGTCACTATGACTTTAATCACTATTTGTTATTATGTGGTTTCTGAGGGGATTGCCTCGACGTATCTTATATCTTTGATTCCATTGCTGGTAAAAATTTAAATTTACTTATTTTTGCTTAGATCTTAAGGTGAAAATTTAATTTCAAATCATAAAGTACCTGAAAAATTCTTGTACATTAGGATGCTTTCAATAACAAATTTTTTTATTCGAGTGGGATAAAATAGGTGAAATCAAAACATTTCATCTTAATTATACTCAGTTATCGTGTAATTTTACTTGTGTAATTTTTATCAGTTTGAAAGTAGTGACTAAAACTATCAAATTAATTCATTATGAAGTTGATGATGATGCAAATCTAAAAATGTACATAAGTACCTCAGTATACAACAGTTATGTTTCCATTCTTATCCACTAAATCATATTTCACTGCTTTGATATTATGCAATAATAGCCGATATTAGAGTGTGGTAGGATTTCATTCCATTCAAAACTTTTAAACTGAGTAAATATTAACCTTAGTGAATATTTAACTCTTAATTAGAATCCCAAAAAAATAAATCCCTTAAAGTTGATCATCAAGATTTCTAATGACGAAATATGCCAAAAATAATCAAGATGTTCTCTGCTATCGAAATAATTTAATATGTATCAAAATAGATCTAAAGGTAGTACTCCATGCTGCTTCCAGTTCATGTTAAACGCTAGTTTTGTAGGATACAGAAAGATTACTGATATTTGTGGTCTCAAAATTAATCATTCATTATTCATTTTAAATGATAATAAATGAATAACTAAACCAAGTAAGGAAGTTGAACATATGACTTTTAGTTGGTAGGTTTAAACAAAATAATCGTAAATTATAAAATTCCATTTTTCTTCGTAAAATAGCTATGTATTAAAATTCTCAGCGAAACTGACCTGCCATTGGTTTGAAACTATTATAGTTCGTGGTTATTAATTAGCATTAAAAAATCTTTAATGAAATATAACAGAAAGTTACCTCTCCCATTTGATCTTTGGATACGAATATACCCATTTCCGGAACATCTATTAGTTTAATTTGCACACCAGGGGAAATAGCTCCAACATGATATGCATCAACATCTTCAAACATTGTACTACATACTAAGCCAAGTGTTTCTGTCGATCCGTATGCTTCACTAACCTAGCCAATGTTCAAAGATTGCTATTAGAATGGTAAAGAATGTCTAAAAAGAAATGATGTTCATAATGTTTTGTATATACTGTATCAATTCATGTTTGTATTCCTGCGTAAAATCGTACTCCCCTTAGTTGAAAAACTTAATAGAATTAATGATAAAATTGGGATCTAAAGAATCTCCAGAATCGAAAAATTATATTCACACAGTATTCAGCAATGATCTTAGATTACGTATATTTTCATAAAGTACTGACTGAAGTTTACTACAGCCAACGGTATTGGATGTTTTAGTTGGTCTATTATCAAGAGACAATGGTTCCCACCGAGGTAGAATCTTGAGTCTACAAAATCCTTGATTTATTTAATGGAATTTTACATGGATGATAGAAAGTACTTTAATTTTATCCTTGTATACGTTGAAATCGAAAAACGTGAATAAAGTAACGACTTTCGGAATCTTATCCTAGTCCTAAACTGGATTATTTAGCAATGCCCCTAGTTATTTTTGACTTTTCAGTTGTATGTACCTAGAACATTGTGAGTTCTGTCTTTTTATTAGTCTACACTTATATCATCTTTGGTCTGAGTACTGGATGCGTGATGGAATTAGTTACACAAATTTTTAATAAAATAACTAATACCTTTGGTTTAAGTTGTGAGAAACTGAAGGTAATTTATGAAATAAATGAGTCCACACCATTCTATTATGACTGTCATTAACAGTTGTCAAACGGTCAATTCTCTGAATGGATTTGATTCGTCGTAAATATAATCCTACATAATATTTTACGGGGATCTTATTGATTTGAGCAAATATTACTACATAGTCTCTTGATTGGCACCTGGTGAACATTCTTTAGTCCTATCTAAACAATGCAAATTCTCAGTACTAATTAAAATAAGTGTTGGTTCTGTGTGAACAAGTAGATCAAGAACGAATTCGTATACGAAAAATATTTCAAATATTAGACTTACAGGACAACTCAAAACAGCTCTAATGAAGCAAAGAACATCTCTATCTATTGGAGAGCTACCTGAAATAATAGCTCTTACTCGACCACCCAGTAGTTCACGAAATTCTCGAAAAAATAGGAAATCTATTATTCCGTTCCTCCGATATATTCCACTACAACAAGTAATTATTATAAAAGTTATTTTATTGTAAAATTGAAAAATATTCACGACAAAATCTCAATTCAATTGAAACAAATAGAATGCTAACTTAAATATTCATTTCTCCATTTCTTTTGTTTAGTTTAAATGATAAACACAAAAAGGATCATATTCACACATATTAATATATGTATTCATACTAGTTACCCTTTTGAACTTTTCATAACTACTTACTGTTTCTGTTCTTCCATTCTCTTGTTTATTTCGTATTGACAAACTTTCCAAATTATTGGTTTAGAATGCACTTTTTTGGAAAAATTCATATATAATCGAACAAGCAGTCTTGGAACGGAACAAAAAAACGTTGGCTTAAAATCTCTAAAATCATCAAATAACGACTCAATACCATCAGTGAGAAAACCGATTCGACCACCAGAAAACATGGCCAATATCTAATTGAAAGAATAGGTAATGAAAGGAAACTTAGTACCAATTTACTTGTGAGATTAAGTCACTTGAAATAAAGTTAAACAGTTGAAAGCAAGTTAATAGTAGCTCTTTTTTTAAAAAATATTACTGCTGGAGGACGAAGAATATTAATCTATAACTAAAATACCTGGATTAAAAAGCAGATTTCATTATGGATACTTTTTGCATCTGGTACATATATATCATTTGCACAAGCCGTGTAACCTTATCTATAATGATTTAACAAATAAAGTAGTCTATTAAAAACAGAAAGAGAATTATTTAATATAAAGTGTCGAAAGAGGGTTATGTAAAGCTCAACTAGTTAAAAATAATAATAAGATGAAGTCAGCTATGTGAAAGATAAATTGTTGTTGAAGAGAGCATAAACGAGAATTGGAGCAGCACCAATCTCCAATCCTGATCTCTTCAAGATAATAAAGAGGACTATGTGTAACAAATTGTTCTCTTGACGAAAGTCATGGTAAAATGAGAGTCTGAACGTGTCGCTTTTGAACACAAAGCTCAGGTTGGAAACGATCAATCTTTTTTCTCAAAAAGTTCTTTAGTCGTTTTTTCAAAGTTTCTGCTAGAGTATCTTCCTTGAACTCAATATTCATGAAAAAATTTAATGTGAACTGCAGTTGATCTTCCAGATTGTTTTTTTTTCAAGTTTCTTTCAGTGGATCTTAACTGATAGTTTTTTTAATGACTATTTCTGGAGCTTGACTAGTTCCTCGTTTATTATGTATTCGGAGCATCAGTGCTTAGCTCTCTGTGAGAAATATTGGATTAGATTTCTCTTACTATTTAATGAAGCGCCCGAAATACTCTTGCTTTGTCAAAAAAATACTTTCTAACGATGAAGACATGAGAAAAGAATTAACTACTTAAGTAGCAAAGCTGTTTGCTAATTGAAAAACAATAGATATTTTATTGACGATTTGAAAACAAGTTATTTGGTACTTATATTTAAAAATCCATCAGTCATGAACTTTGAATACTACTTTGAAAGGTTAACTCCAATAAAATCACCATACATTTTAAACTTTCGTATTAGATTCTCTTTTAAATGACTCATAATCTCACATAACTATTATGCAGCTAAAGATGTGTTCAGATTAAATGTTGAGTGGAATGAATCTCACTTTCGATCATTTTTTTATATTAAATACTGAACAATTAAATAGTATTCAGTGGGACCGCTAGGATGAGTAAATGAAAATTATAGTCCAATCTTAATCCCGGATAAAGGAGGGTTGGAGATGAGGTTAGCAAACTCCGTAGAAAACGACCATGCTAAAAAAATGCTAGCCAGAATAAACAATCTAAACGATTAAAACTCTACTCTGTGAGTTGAAAGGTTCTCATTCAGAAATATTATGACGTCTCATGGCGAAGGCCGAAACTTTTCAGCAGTCACGAGGTTGATTTACCTTCTGACAACCAGAGCAACAATTAATATATGTTCATGAGATGTCCGGACAATGTGGGAAACCTGGGAGGCTAGTCAAATGACTACGGAAATGAGGATATATAACTTGGAGGTGCTCGAAATAAGTGAAATCCATTGGACCCTAACTGGACAGAAAAGATTAACTTCGGAGTGGTGCTGTTGTACTCTGTTCATCAAGAAAAAAATGCCTCCAACACACAAGGAGTTGCGCTGATGCTGTCCAAAGATGCACGAGAAACACTATTGAGATGGAAATCTCATAGATCCATGATTGTCAAAGCATACCTCAAAACGAAGAAAAAAAGATCACAATATATGTTATTTAGTACTGTTTACCTACCAACGATAGCAACGAAGACGATAAAGTTCGGTCTCATGAGAAGCTGTAATCGATCGTAAAGAAATTCTCAGGAAAGGACATTGTAGTGGCTTAGCTTCGAGGTAATTCATTAGGATTCTTATATCAGTCACTGATAACCATTATTCAAGAAATCTCAACCGTTTATGAATTCAGAATACAACACGAAGGGCTGACTACAGTTTATTATTGAATAGCGCGGATAAAAAAGCTACAAGCACACCAAGTGAACTTGAGCACGAAAGCTAATATGTTCAAGCAAGCGAATGTAGGGGGAAATTCAGAGTCGAGTCAATCAGTAGGATTCAAGCACATATTTACATATATGGGAAAGCGAATGACTCATCGAGCGATATTTAATCAATTAACATTTAAGCTAGAGAGACGAGTATGTGCGTAGTCTATCAAATGTGACGAAGCATACATGTTCACATAGGCATGATAGTGATAAAAATGATACAAGGACATTGTGAAATTGTTACTGTTCGAATAACGCTGTTAAATAAGTTGATTTAAGGTCTTGGCAAAATTAACCCTAAACAAACTTAATTGTAGGAGAGGTCCAAGAAGAAAACCACCCTAATGGAAGACCTAACCGTCAAAATCAGAATAGAAAATAACAGGTATGGAGATATCTAGGGACGATATAGACTGACCAAGAGAAAGAAACAAAAATGGGGGAGAGATTTACAAATTTATTTGCATCCAACAAATTAGTTACGGGCGGCACAATATTCCCCCACAAACACATACACAAAGCTACATGGGTCCCACCGGATCACACTACACAGAACCAGGTCGATCATATTTACGTCACAATGGACGATGGAAAACACGAGAACCAGGAGAGGAGCTGACATTTCTTAGAATCACCACTAGCTGGTAGTTGGAAAGATAAAGCTGAAGCTAAAGAAGTGAGCAACTGGAGAAACAGCATTACAAAGGTTAAATACAGCCTCTTCGACATACTGACAAACTCAATGAATTGAAGATAACACAAAGCAACAGGTACCGAGTCTTACAACATCTACTCAAAGAAGGAGAAACTACTATGGAAAGGGATATAAAACGCTGACTAATGTACCAGGAGGTGCCGAGCCCCAAGAAGCATCATCATAAGGAATAAATTTCCGTCGAGATTCCGGACAGAATTCAAGAAAAGAAGACAGCAAATAACAACAGCCGAACAAGAACAGGGAAGGTCAAGGCACAGGCCAAACACACAGAAGCAAACAAACAAGTGAAAAGGAGCACTGGAGCAGACAATCAGAAATACGTAGAAGAGCTAGCAACGACAGTGGAAGAGCTGCAACAGAAGAAAATATCAGACAACTATATGACACAACGAAGAAACCGACAGGGAAATATAGTAAACGAGAGAGACCAGTCTAGGACAAAGAAGGAAAGCCAATCACTGAAACTGAAGAACAGATGAATAGATGGGTAGAACACTTTGAGGAGCTCTTGAATCGGCTAGTTCCATTAAATCCACCGGACATCGAAGCAGCGCCTATAGACCTTCTTATAGATGTCACCCCACCAACGGTCGAGGAAGTCGGGATAGCCATCAGACAAATGAATAGTGGGGAAGCAGCAGGACCTGACAATATACCAGCTGAAGCACTGAAGTCAGACATAGAAGCAACTGCAAACATGTTACAAGTCCTATACATGAAGACTTGGAAGGAGGAACAAGTGCCGACGAACTGGAGAGAAGGATACCTCATCAAGATACCAAAGAAAGGAGATCTAAGCAAATGTGAAAACTACAGAGGTGTCACACTACTATGGGTACCAGGAAAAGTTTTCTAAAGAGTATTGCTGAACTGGATGAAAGATTCAGTAGACACCGTACTTCGAGATCAACAGACCGAATTCCGTAAGGATCGGTTGTGCACAGACCGAATCACGACACAATGGATCATTGTTGAACAATCAACTAAATGAAACTCGTCACTATACATCAGATTCCTTGACTATGAGAAGGTGTTTGACAACGTGGATAGGAGAACCTTATGTAACCTTCTTTGACACTACAGTGTACCTGAGAAAATTGTCAACATCATAAAGAATTCATACGACGGACTACACTGCAATATGTTGCATGGAGTACAGCTAAGTGGGTTATGAATGCCTCCGCATCTCACGGGAGCACTGAATACAATAGATAGCTTGGATGCATTTAGATGATTTGGACTTCTAAGATGACCTAGCTCTTCTTTACTATTATTAACAATAAAGGTGAATACAGATAATGTAGTAGCAGCATCTATAGTAGTGGGTCTTGACATACACAGAGGAGAACACAATCACACATGATTGAGAATCTTGGAAGAAATGAGAATTTCTACACATCGACGAACCCACAAGTTTTCGATGCAGATGTAAAGGCACGGATTAGGAGAGTGACGTCAGAATTCCTACAATTGAAGAACATATATGACTGAAAACGTCTGTCAGCCAACATCAAAATCAGAGTCTTTTATACAAACGTGAAGACAGTTCTACTGTACTGAGTTGGAACTTGGAGAACTTCCACAGCCGTCATCAAGAAATTCCAAGTATTTATAAACAATTGTCTACACGAGTTACCGAATGACCGTTGCTCAGATATCATCAGCAACAGTCTACTGTTGGAGAGAACAAACCAGCTTCCGAATGAGGAGGAAATAAGTAAAAAGTGCTGGAGTTGGGTCGGACATACATTGTGAAAATCATCAGACTGCATAGTAAGGCAGGCGCCATCTTGGAATCTTGAAGGGAAACGGGTAACAGAAAGACCAAAGAATACATTTCGTTGGGAATTAGAAGCAGACATCGAAAGAATGAATAGCACTCAATAATAACTAGAATGGAGTGCTCTTGACATACTTAGAGAATACTGGTGTGTGGTATATGCTTTTTCGCCAGAGATAATAGGCGTTAGTGAAGTGAATATTTTATTTTAAATATTTCGAGTTAATATTTAAGATGATGTGATAGTATTTATTATCCTTCGCCCTATACGTTCAAGGTAATCCATTTCGTTTGGGGAATGAATGATAGCTTAAATCAGCCAGGACGTTTATGACTGGTTAAGTTGGGTAATAAATGTTTTAACAAAAAAGCCATATGAATAAATTTCAAAGCATGGATGATTTGGAAGAACCAAAAGCCATAAACCCTAATGTAAACATTTTTCTGCAATTTGCCTTTAACCAAATTTCAAAGTTTCGTAAATGTATATAATCATGCTTGAAAGTGTTTTCTATGAAATGTAATTAATCAGGTAAATTCCCTTCAAACTTTATGTGAATACAAATTATTTATTAATAACTTGCCATCGTTAGCTGTTCCATCGTATGTGATAAAGGCAGGAATGAAACATGTGACAAATCTTCAGTTGAAAAATGCTGAAACATAATAAAATATAAACGCAAAAATACAAGTGCTAATAATCAAGAACATCATATTCGTTTTGTACAAGACCTGACAGAGCTTTATAATGCGTACTGTTTGCTTTCATACTCAATACGTTTTCTATTGTTAGAAAAAACCCTGAGGGAAATCATATCAAACCTGCTAGGCTCAATCTCTTTTCAAGAAATGCAGAAAATCTATATTGTTCGTATCAAAGGCGATAGCTTTCTTAGATGTCTAAATGTAAAATGAAAAGCATTCGCACATCTTTTTGTTGCATATGAAATGCAATGTCTAGACACTGAATTCTACAGCCACATGAAAACCTATTATTCTGGATCGAAGATGACTTTATTAATAGGTCATATTTTGTACATAATATCTATTTTGCAGCTAATATTTTGTGTTTGATTAGTAATCATTAGTAAATACACAACATGATTAAGCAATGATTTATACTTCATTAGACTGTTCGCCCTGGAAATAGCAATTCACACACAAATAACCAATTAGTGGTAGTAGTAGTATTGCCTGTTACTCCCAATGGAGCATAGGTCATCGATCGGTATTCTTCAACTCACTCTGTCCTGTGCCTTCTTTTCTAGTTCTATCCAATTCTTGTTCATTTTTCTCATGTCTATTTTCATTTCCCAGCGTAATGTGTCCTTTGGTCTTCCTCTTTTCTTTTGGCCTTGAGGATTACAAGTGTGGTCTTGTCTTGTGACGCAGTTGGGTGATTTCTTCAATGTGTGTCCTATCCACTCCCAGCACTTCTTCCTGATTTCTTCCTCCTCTGGGATCTGGTTTGTTTTCTCCCACAATAGGATGTTGCTGATAGTGTCTGGTCAACGGATCCGAAGTATTTTGCGTAGACAGCTGTTAATAAACACTTATATCTTCTGGATGATGGCTTTCGTGGTTCTCCAGGTTTCCGCCCCAGTAGACAGTAGAATTGTTTCGACCTTTGTATTGAAAATTCTGACTTTGGTGTTGATTGACAGTTTTCTCGAGTTCCAGATGTTCTTCAATTGTAGATATGCTGCTCTTGACTTTCCGACCCGTGCCTTCACATCTGCATCAGATCCACCGAGTTCATCAATGATCCTGCCCAGATATGTAAAGATTTTTACATCCTCTAAATCTTCTCCATCATGTGTGATTCGATTGGTGCATACTGTGTTGTGTCGGAGAATCTTGCTTTTCCCTTTGTGTATGTTGAGACCTACTGCTGGAGCATCTCCTGCGTTTGTTGTTATGTGTGCGACAGAAGAGCCAGATCATCTGCGAGGTCTTGGTTGTCCAGCTGCATCCTAGCTATCCACTGTATCCTATGCTTCCCCTCAGATGTTGACGTCTTCATGATCCAGTCGATCACCAGGAGAAAGGGAAAGGGTGAGACTAAGCAACTTTGTTTGATACCGGTCTTTACCTCGAACGAAATTAGTCGTACAGAAAAATAATTATCATCCTACATAACGTATTAGATGATAAAATATGAGGTAGTCTAGCCCAGGACAGAGTGGGTTGGAGAATGCTGGTCAGCGGCCTATGCTCCATTGGGAGTAACAGGCGTAAGTAAGTAAGTAATGGTGAACTAATATGAGAAGCATTTTGACATTCGTCGAGTGAATATGAAATGTAAACTAGTTATACAATATTATTTAGGGAATCTTGTTTACATTTTATTCTTTACGTTCAGTTCCAAAAAATAATGGAACTTTAAATGCTTAATGCTATCTTAGCTGTTTTCTACTGTTTAAGGGAATTAAATGCGCAGTGATGATGAGTCTCATACTAGGATGAAACGGCCGTCCAGTACTATCAGGTTTTCAATGGTGGTCTAACATTGATCCATTCATGATACCAGTTTAAACTAAACAATCTCCACAACTCTATACCGATAATCAAATAATAGTCAATGCATTATAAAACCCGTTCTTAAAATCGTTATTTACATTAAGAAAGTAAGCGCTAACAGGATTTCATCCATTTTTTAAACCCACCATTCACAGATATCAGTAATGGTAAAGCATTTTATCTTATAGGAATTTACTATTTCAAGTTACTGGTTGCCGATGCAAAGGTTAGTTGATCAATTTAGCTAAGTATATAGCATTCGTTTTGAAAACGTTTGAATCTGAAACCATCAAGGTACAGGTAATAGAGCATTTAGTTTCCTTTGAGTGAGACAGTCATTAAAGAAGATCCAGATGATAGCCATATTTACAACCGTTCCGGTGAAATACTTAAAGAAACTTCATGAAATTATATGTATTCTATTTGGAAAGAAAACCTCAAATATCATAGCTTATTTATCCATACCGTTAGCAAATATTTCGAAATGATGTGTCCCAATCAAATGATTTCATGAAAATAAAAGCATGAAGACAGGTCAAAAGTTCATAAATACAAATATAGAACAATTTCATTGCAAATTATTGATAATTTTTGATGGAAAACCAATATAATTATTATATGTTGAGATACGTCTCATCTTAATCAGTAGAGAAAAACATCTTAATTAAACAGAAAGTAGTCGTTCGAACAAACGTGAATCTACGTTTAGTAATAAAGTTAAACTGGTCCATTTAAAGAACAGTGGATCCTTACATATAAAACTTCTAATAGCAATACAAAATACTCTGGTTTTGCTGTCAGGAATATTGGTGTATAAGAAACTGACACAAACATCATTTATGAAAACGGTAACAACCCTGTTTCAAAGCTAACAAAATATAATTACATAAGATTCATAAATCAGTCATCAGGTAAATGCAGAAAATATTTCTGATCGTTTGAAAATTTCCTTTAGATACTTATTCTTCTGCTTTCACTTAAATCTCTTATTTAACTGTTTGAAGCATTTTTGATTATCTTGTCCTCCAATATATACAGTAACGACGATTGAAGTTAAGAGAAAATCTATGTAACTTTATGCTAAGGAGTTACCTTGAATTTATTCTCCGCCTTCCCAACTCATGAATTTATGAATTGTACTAAATAAAACCAAAAGGGGTCTATCTTTCAAAATAAAACTCTATCAAACAACAAATGTTTTCTTTCAATTAGTAATAGTAAAAAAGACAATTAACTTCATATATAAATATATCTACCATTTTATGAATATATATGTCTCAAAGTATACGATATTTGACTAGATTAGGAATATTATTATTATTAATTCTAGACTAACATTTTCTTCTGTCAAGCTAATAGTTAGCTTTGCGGCATTTAAATAAGCTTTGTTTGTTATCATAACTCCTTTGGGTAAACCTAGAGGAAAAAAGGGTAAATGAAAAATGAGAACAACGAAATGTATCGTATACTCCTGTTTTCTTTAACTGTTATAGCATAAATTAAGATATAGATTCATTGGTTCAGTTAATTCAATTTTTAAAGTTTAATCACCATGAATCACTGCGGAAATGTATAAAATCAAATTCTCACTATTTATATACTCTTGCTGAACAGTAGCTTCGATATTAAGGAAAACAGTTTATCTGCGCCACTGTTTTTATACATTATGGTAATACTGTATGGTCATAGTAATATTCGTTTTTATGAAAGACTGTACAGTTCAAAGAAAATATTGATATAATAATCGCGTACTCACATGGAAATAATTTCACCATTTCACCACTTCGGTCTTGATTCGTTATCGGTGGAGTCAGACAAGTCCTGACTGATTCAGAAACCCATATCCCATACGGAATTATAACCATACTACATCGCCGGTTACTTGAATGTTAAAGTTCAATCACTGAATTTTAACTCTACGATTCTATAATATTATTTAAATTAGGAGATCCCAAAATCGTTGATTCTACCTCACATGACGTCATAGGTGCGCACTTCAGATAAGTCATGGAATATAATGAAGCTACAGTTTTGTATCTTGATTTTGAGTATTTCTTCAGCTAATATTACCCTATGATAGAAACTACTTTAGACACTTAAAAATTAAGGCCGTAACATAGTATTTTCATAAGCTCTTCGTTAAATTACGAACCTAATTAAGGGTAATGTTTTAGTGTTATAATTACTGTTAAGAGTTATAAGTTCATAATTTATTGAGAATTTATTCAAAATGTAAACAGCTAACTGCTTTGAAATGTAAATTATGATAATGGAAATCTCTATGGTGCCTTCATTTAACATAGGCTTTATAAATGGTTAGCTCTCATGATTTTCATTGCATTAATTAGAAAAAAAACACAAACTGTCCGCCTCCTTATGATATAGACTTAGCAACAACTACTTAAAGATTTGAGGTACAAAACTCCAACCTAGTACGTATTATGATATATATTCTAGATTACGTGTGCCAGGTCGAATAAATTTCTATCATAATACTCAAGAACCTATCGAAAATAATCGACACATGTTTAAATTATATTATTTAGCGCATATGACTTTTTACAGTACGTTACTGTTTGTAAAACGACCGGTGAGATATAGAGTTTGGAGTTTAAAAATTTTATGTAACACCAAGATGAGTTCAACAGAAAGAATGTGAAATTTTCTACTAACCAAATCAAGCTATGACTACCATATATCTGACTTTTAAACGAACAGCTCACATAAATTGTTTTATTTGAACTTTAACATGGAGATTACTAACAGACAATGGTGTTTGTATTATGATCTACCAAACGTCATATCCGAATATCGGTACTACAAAAAACAATGTCATTTATTTTACTACTTCATTTGTTTACAAAATCAATGACTGAAGACTATCTCAATGGTATGTAACAAATATATTATTTTTAATGATAACACTCTATCCAATGATCAATTTCCTTGAAATTATCAAATCAAATCTTGATAATGACATCTACAGAATTAAAGTAAGTAAGAACAAGAACGTTATCAAAACCAAGTAAACTAATTTAATTTCGTAGTTTCTTATCAGCTGTAAATAAAAATAGTTATAAATGTGAGCTTCTTAAGCAAAACGAAATATATATCAATCTATGATTATTTTAAAAAATATATTTTTTTATCTTAATTACATTTTTTTCTATATTCAACCTCCTTATACGTTTGAATTCACTGAGTTGATCCAACTCGTGTATTCGGTAATTGGTAATGGATTTGTTAAAATTTCTTCACTCAGGGTGATCCTCTCCAATCATATGTTAATTAAGAATAAAAGCGAATTAAATATTAACTGTCTGGATTCACTAATTAGTCTTCAGTATATTAATTTATTCTAGTTGAAAATTATTTTTTATCACATCTCAATAAATGTCGTTAGAATTGGCTACATGGAGTCTATGAACTAAGATTAAATTATTTTATTTCACATTAAGGTGTGCTTTTAGTGTCCTCTAACTTTCTAAATTGCTTTTAAACCTTAAAATGACATTCGTTTGTTACAAATACATGAAAATTGTCGATTTCCAGTGTTATAAATAAATCTACCTAGTGATCCACTGGTATATAATATCATGCATAGATCGTTATCATCCGGGACCTAAAAATAAAATGTAGAAGCAGAAGCTTAAAAAAGAACACATTAGTCGGTATATGGTGACTTAAATTTACTTAAACCATATTTCACGAAAAAATAAGAATAATTATTTAACTGAATAATGGCTTTTTAGGACAGAAAATCGCAAATATTGAAATCAGTTGTTGACATTCAGCGAGAATCATGGATATGGATTAAATTTATATTTCAATAAAATTATAATGATTATATGGCATACTATTTTCCTAATACAATCATTTAATTATTGTAATATTCTGACTATCATCCCTTTGAAATGTGAGGTACTATATACTTTACTGTCCGACCAATTGACTATTTCAAGATGGATGTGTGAATCAGCACAACGGAAACATTACTGTAAATCGAAAAACGACTAATAGCGTTCTACGTATTTCATTTTTTCATTAACATCTATGTACAGAACTTACAAGAGATTGAATTAAAATATTCAAGAATATGTACTAGTAATAAACTGTATTTTTACAAACTTTTGTTGTCGTGTGAAAAGAGTTTACAGTTATAATAAATTACTAGTAATCATCTGCCCTGAAGAAGATCAAGTTAATCACTGAGCCATTTCAAAAGAAGAAATGTCATTCACTTTAACTGAATAGCTTTATCAAGTGACGCTTGACGCTAATCTTTGCTGTAAACTATCTAACAGTTATGTACTACATGTAAGTGTTACTTTCATCACTCTATAAAATCATATCACCCAAAAGAACTACTTTGAAAGTTTACTCCTTTCTGATCAATTTATATATATATATATATATATATATATATATATATATATATATATATATATATATATATATATATATATATATATAATTGAGTTGTAAATCTCAAACACATTACTTGTTCAATCTCTAAATGGTTATTGAGCTTAGAAAAAATTCGAATATTTAAATTACTGAGCTTGTAGATTATTTCCACGTATTTTGAAATAATTTCAGAATTACTTAAGAGGTTTTCACAGGATGATGCATTTTATAAAGAAAGAATTGATTTGGTTTATTTAAAATAAACGTTTTAAACCTCGGTTTTTTAATATTTTAATCAGTGTCTTTAAGAAATGGAAGCTACGACAAATCGAATATCGCTTCGCAATGTACGAGGGTTGGTATAAATTTTTTTACTAGGTTGCGATTCATTCAATACTAAGAATCAACAACGTTTCTAAACAAATTCAAAAAACTTAACAATTGGTTCGCTAACGCGACTATATTCAAATATGTCAATATCGAAAAGTACAGTTTATATAACAGTAACCAACTGATGATTCTGCTGACTTACTTTTTCAGGTAAACGATTAGTACATCCTTTTTCCTGAAATATAAGTAAATATTAGGGTTCTTCATTACAAAATCAAGGATAAATTGTGAATAGCTGAAAACAAAAACTGCATGGTTAAATTCCAAGTCGCATAGTAAGGACTCTATAGACGCCTTTCATCATTTTGTTCAGTGGATTAATAGCAAATATTGAACTTCCTAAATATTTCTTTCATAGTAGAGTGAATATTATTGTGTTTATCTGAGACTTCATTGGAATTTTATGATTTACCGCTTATGTAGAAGATTATCTTTCACTTATGTAATTCACATTGCAAATACCATCGAAAACATGGGTATTTATAGCTTAATGAACCAAGCAATTTGGTTTACATTCTGCAAATCGAACCTGTGATTTTTTGCCAGACAGATCCTTGTCATTATCGTAGTAAGAGTCACATTATTAAATTAATATAAGTCAAAAGACCTGGCTAAAAATTATTCTGTCATTTAAACTACCGAAATAAATGCTCATCTTTCGCTACTTTTTACTTTTTTATTCAGTGTGTATTTGACATAGTATACCTAAGTAAGCTTGATTGTTCTGAGTGAATACTTTCCTGGTTGAAAATAGAGATCATCGATTCATTCTAAAATTAAGTTTTTCTCACTATAATACAAAGTGTAAATAATAGAGTAGTATACATGCACTTAATAAAAAAAGTTAGCGTATTCATAACTATGAATAGTAAAATAAACACTTAATTGATGTTATAACACTCTATTATTGGTTTTTTCCCTCATACTAACGTTTACAATTTTCTTGTTTTATAAATTTTATAGAATTAGGATTTGTTTGAATTACTTAAAATCATATATAACAACACTGTAATAGTTCGTGTTTATAATTAAGTGGTTCACTTTGTCAATGTCACGTATCTGAATGCAATGTTATATATATATATAAACAATCAGGATTCTTAAAACCATACTTTATCCTTTAAAATTAACTGAAAGTTTATCGATTATGTTACATAAGCATTACGAATACGACACATGTATACGTGAACAGAGATATCAAATTTTTGTCAAACGTGTATAATATGTTATATATAATCCGCTTAACTATATTATCATGTCTTAATAAACGAATTTTCTCATCTTATTACTCCATATCTCTAGTTGGTAGTCTAAGTGAGTTCGCATTAATTCATCAGTGTATGACCTGACAGAAATTGAATAATGAAAATGACTTAATTAAAACAAACGCGATTTCTAGTTTTAAGTTCAAGAATAAACTTATGCATAATGGACAAGAAAAGAATTACACATTTATGTCTTCTACTGAAAATGACACTATGTACCCCAGATCGGTGAATTCCGTTGGCTAAGCAGTGAAAATATGTACCACTAAAAAGTTGTTGTGTCATAGCTTAAAACTTTCCAACTTCGTGCAATTATGATTTTATACATTATCGAACTCAAGAAGCGTTAGTCCTCGAGTTGGGCACTCCGCATTCAGATAATTTTGTCTGAGTCAAATGATCCACATTTGCAAATCAAATCAACTCCTGAGATCTAGTACAACTGACAATATCAATCTTATTCTTTATATAGCTGGAATATACCAGTTATGATTTATCACTTGAACTTCACAAATTCACATCGAAAAAAAGTCATAAGTGAGCACACGACTAATTTTTAGTTCGTTAGTGAGACAGATGTTACCAGTTAAATTTAATAACTGTTACGAAATATAAATGTGGATATATGAACCATTTGATTTCTACTTAGGGGTCTGAAAGCAATACGCTCCACAAAAAGATTAAAATACCCTGAGTTTGACAGCGCATGAAATAGTGGTTGCATAATATTGAGAAGTTTCAAACTCAAAGATATTAACTTTAAGGTCCCCCACAGTCTTGATTGATTGTTTAGCTGAAGTACGTCCTCTGAAACAATGATTTCATCAACAATCCCTCAGCCGAATAAATGGGGATATTTTCCGAAAGAAAGAATTCGTTGAAGTCAAAGAATAGATGGTCGCTACTTCGTAATTTATAAGTGAAAGTGACCAACTTTAGTCCTTGAAAATCTGTGCAGAAATAAAAACGAATCCCAGACATGGTGGTTTTACGTAGACATGATCATAAACCTTCCAGTTTTCTATGGTTAATTCCTTTCAAATAAAAGAAATGCTTTTTGTTATTTAGTTTAACTTACCAACATCTCTTCAAATGTGAACAATCGAACTTTATCTGACCATTCTTTTTTAAAAGATTCGAATGTGTTGTCTGGCTCCATAATAATAAATACTTTAAGTTTATGTGGATTGATTTTGTTTAGATGGCAAGCTTGAGATATTGTGTCACAGACAATAATTTTTAGTTCAGCTAAATTAAAATTGGAAGAAAAATAAAGCTTGAAATAAGTGTACTTATCCGCAGGATAATCAACTATAGGGTTTCAGTAGTGATTACAAAACGATAAATAAAGGTTCATCTTGTAGTTGGATTGAATTTGTATTGTATACTCTTATCAAGTTGGATGATTAGTAAAACAGAACTAGAGCTATTCGTCTGAAATCTAATAATTTGATTGTATGTTAGCATTATAAATATGAAGATGGTATTGATGTTGTCTGGAACGACAATGAGAGGAATGAAATCAAACAATTCAGCTCAGAGAACGCAATACTACTGAAATATAGAAACATGATCACAAATTTATCTGTTTATCAAACCTGTTGCAAGTGTCAGTTCTATAAATTCAGATATACTTGGTTGCAATAATAATGTCTTTTTCACTTGACTAAAAAGGCTTTCAAAGTAATAAGGTACTACTCTTTCTGAAGAAGCTTATCATATTACAATAATTGTCAGATCTTATACTTTTCACACAATATGCACAGAATTATAACCTACTTTTTAGAGTTAATCAAACTTCATATCATCTAATAATTTTTATTTCGGACTTGAAGTATTGATATAGAAATATAAACATAATAAACTGGTTTTAGTAAATGTTTTACACTATAGATATTTGTAATCACACCAGAGTAAATATTTACCGAGCTTCCAACTCATATGTTATATTAGAGACAAAAACAAAATCGATTCATATCTTAATGTTTTGTAGTTAGACCAATCCTCATTAATTAGTACGAGTAGTTTTAGCAAGTATTCTCCAACATTCGTCAAATATGTATAATATAACGATGTTGAAACATCAGTTGAACCGATCTGATTTATTCTCATTATGTTCTTAAATTTGTTCTGATCTATTTAGTTCAAAAAGGGGATCTTAATTTCTTTTGTAAGGATTTCTGTCTTGTTTTCGATCTTTACCAATGTTACCTCGCTGTCGTTTAACTTGTTTTTCTTTCCTCAACGAACTGAAATCTGTAGGCAAACAAGATTAATGATATGACAAAATATTTAATATTTTATTATGGATCAGGGTGGGACCTAAGATATGTTTTATTTTATTCATCTCTTATACTGTAAACTTATTTACATAACAGTTGTTTATGAATTCATGGAAATTAAAAGCCACTCAGGTGAGAACGTTTTCTAATGACATCCTTGAGGCATTTTAGAATCAATACCTGGATATCACATACGGAAGAGTCAATAGATATGTCAGTGAATTATGTATCTCAACAGGATTCAAAAGGATTTCTAATTAAGTAATAATAAAGTTCGTTACCAAGTTAGTTACTGGTTTAAACATTTGTTCAGTTCAAAGACCTTGGTTAAAATAATTCAGTCTTTATATGTATTTTTATTACTCAAATATATAGAAGTTCTAATTGAAGTCATTGGTCCATACGAGGTTCAAAATCTTACAGTTCTCTCTAGCGTTCAATATCTCGGATAATGACATAAATAATAAGTTACTCATTTACTTTCAAAAACGATTAAACCGACAAGCCTCATTTTATAATTGTCACGGTCAATAGTAATTAAAATAGCTGAGTATTTGTTTGGTGACCTAAAAATCCAATATATGGATATTTGGAATTACTTGATAAAAATACTTTGGTTGAGTGATGGCTAAACTACTGCTCACTGAGTGTTTTACATGTAACTACATGTTTTCACACTTAATCAAGTAGATTCCATAATATTAGAGGAATAAATAATGGTAAAACCTGATATTATATAATTGATATTTAAAACAATTAGTCCCTTTGATAAATTTCGATAATGCAATGAGAAGACATAGTTTATCGGAATTCTAATAAACTACGTCTTCTCATTGCATTATCATAATTGATATTATCTGCCTACATATGTTTATGTTTCATTTTATCGTTGTCTCATTTTTTAAGCAAATTGTAGTATTCGATTAAAAACAACTTAATCTGTCCAGTCTATACGCTACACGACATTAGACCTTAAACAAAATTTGTGAAAAAGTGTTTACGAAACTCAACCAATGTTAGTGGATGTTTACGGATATGAAACGTTAATAAAAATGCGTTTTTGCAGGTGATAATCATGATCAAGATAATCTAATGGTAACCTATGTTGATGAAAACATTAAACGTGTGATTTTCCTTGTGCTTTCCTATTCATAATTACATTTTAGAATTATTACTAGTTATTTAATCTTTAGTGAATGGTTTGGGAACAGGATTTCAGCACTAGGAGGATGTGTGAGACTAGGAAAAGCAAAACAATGAACCTGACGCCTGACGACTTCCAGATATGTTCAGTAAAGTAAAAATGAGTATTAGGACATGTGTGTGTCTAAAAATGTAGGGAAGATGTAGTCTGAGGATCTAAGGTCCAAAATTCTATAGATTTTACAAAGCAACGTTCCCATGATCTTAGTTACAGCATTTGTTGGACAGACTTTGCATATTTATTTACAGCTGCCTAACAATAAAAACTTTCATTAAAGAAGACAATCACGTGAAATTATAATTTACTGATTTCTAGCTTTAGATGTATTATTAATTTCTTCCTAAGACTTCCTGTTTCGAAAATTTGCTTTGACTCCATAGGATACACGTATTTGCAAGGCTAATTCTTCAAATTACTTACTTTCATTAATGACATGAACTATAGCTTCATCACCAAAAGTACTGTATAACGGTACAGTAACAAACGAGTATGCAGCACCAGCTAACTGTGCTATCACCCACTAAAAAACAGGAAATAAGGAAACTGCATATGATGCGTTACTATTTACAACAATAAATAGCTAAATATGAAGGTAAGCAAATGATTATTTCTGTCAAGTTCATACCTCACAAAGTTACAAAAACTTTTGTTTGTGATTGCATCAAGCGGTCAGTAAACGCAGTTTAAAAAACAGCTGTCCTCATAAGTTGTAGACTTTTTAAAAATAAATGGATAAAATTTCTCTTTTCATACAAACTTTTTGACAGAAATTTTCATGGTATCAAAGTGAAAAAATTTCATTTCACAGAACGATATTTTCTGACGAAAGTGACTTAATCTAAAGTGTTACTTTATATTCACGGCATATGTATTAATTTAATGGAATGCACAGATTTTTAGATTTTAAAGAAACTAAGTATCTAGTTTTTAGCACCTAGGTTTAAAATGACTTAACAAACTTCTAAATAAGTATTTAGATATGTGTATATATACGAAGTAAAATTATTTTAGAAAGAAAAATAAAATAAATGACCATTGAACAACATTTGTAAATTATAACTCATTTTATATCTATATTAAATGAACTATGACCATATAAAACTTTCAGAATAATACTATATGAAAATCTAAAAACTTTTTCGGAACATATGACTAAAACCTTCAGTGACAAATATTTCAATAGAAATGTATTATCTACGTAAATTATTTTAAAGATCATCCGAATAACAGAAAATTGGAAATACTTTGGTCTGTGTATTTTAATTTAACGATGAAATAATGTTCAGAAAATATCTTACAACTAACTAGGTTTGTTGAGTTGACTTTATACAAAAGCAGCATTCAAAGTGTAAGAATGTTATAATTTATACTGAAATTCAGATTAGCATCTTTACAAACAAAAATGAAATTATGTACCACCACATAGTTCTAATGTAATAAATATCTTTCACAGTGTTGAACTATCTAAGCAAATGACGTTTCCAAGACATCCCTCAGGGTAGAAAAGCATACAAAAAGGAACGTAAGAAATTTGGTTTTGCGCGGTAAATCACTTTATCTTATATACACGATTGTTTTTCTATTCAGGACTTGGAAATGCCAGAACTCGGGAAATCACTTTTGTTCTTTTCAAAGTATTAAGGCTAAAAAATGCACTAAAGAAATTATTATCAGCTTTTGAATGTGTTATTTATCTCATAATCCAAATCATTTCCAATACTGACAAAATTGCCAACAGTTTGTCAGTCATCATCAACGTAAAACTGTGAACAAATAAATATTAAACGATGTTACCACATCTCATATCAACACAACAAAAGTATTCACCATTAATTGACGGATAGCTTTTATATCTGTACTAACTAATTTCTATGTTTATTGATATTAATAATTCGAAGAATTATAATTTGCTGTTCCTAGCCCCCATGGTTCACAATCCTCCAATCCTTACAGTAGGACTTACGGTCACATTTGTTATTGCATAACTCTAGTAAATATTTTTCGTTAACTTATTTTACAGCCCCTAAAACTCAACGGTTTAATGTAACAAAATTGGTAACTGATACGGTTCAGTTTGTAAATGTCATTCATACTCCTTTTAAATATCGGTTTACTTTAAACTAGCCAAAATATGGTATGGTAATATGATTAACTTTAAATTTCTACACAAAAGATGGTCTTTATAATATGTGATATTGTTTACTATCGCATTTAGTTTGCTGAGGGACATATTTTGTACTATTCTACATTAGCTATAATAAAGCTGAGCATCTGATTTTCGTTCAGTAGTTGTTTCTCGGCAAAATCCGAATTCCTAGACGCTTAAAATAGAAGGAAATGAAACATATCACTTTCTACCTAATAAGTTTTAAAGTTAACATTATGGTTTTCCATCGATTCCCTATGTTTTACGGAAATAAATTGGCATTCTGAATTGTCGTAAAACAGTGATAAAATTAAGCTAGTTTCTAGATATTTCCCTAAAATATTAGGCTTTTAATAGCATCTTATTTCCTGGAAACATCTATGCTTTCTAGTCCGGCTGTAGATTATAAACACTTTCAAATATATTAACTCCGAATCTCATTTTGGTTACATTTCATTTCCTCTTACTGGCTAGACAAATATTTTATCAAATGTAGATTGCTTAATTAGCTGTCCCGTAATCACATTGAAAACTTACCTTTGGAGAATTTTTTCCATAAATTCCAATAAAATTAATCATGGAGATTTCTTCCATCAGTGTCGTTAATGCTGATCCAAACTGTTGAATTCTCTCATAAACCTGAATATTAAGTTAAGGAAATCATAGTATTCCTCTTCGTTATTATACTTACCTCTTCATAAGTAATCCATTTAATTGGAGAACTGAATGACTGACGCATTCCAAAACAACATTTATCTTCTGAATGTTATAAATAAAATTCACAGTTAGTAATAAGTGATTTCGAAAAATAACATTACCCTAGAATCATATTCATTTATTCACTTTGAAATAAGACAGAAGTTTATTTTTAACGAAGATGGAAATTATTCTTATCTTTATGACAAATAATACACACTTAGAAATAAAAACCTAAAAGAAGATTACATAGTACGGTACGAATGAAGAGCCAGTTTAAAATATTTTTTTACTTAACACAAAATAAAAATTCCCTTTTAGGTATTTGCTATTATATTTACTTTTTTGTCAAACACTTCTTGAATATCCTAGCTTTGAAGTTTTTGTAGTGTTATTTTACTATACTAGTAACATTAACAAACAAATGACTTTCTATTATATGTATATATTACAGCTATCTACAAATTAACCTTTTGTTTATCTTGATCTATGATTATCTGCAAAATTGTGACAAAAAAAGTTCAAGGTGAAGTCTTGAGTAAAGTTTATATCTTAAAACATGTAATCTTAGAAACTTCTTTCCAAATAAAGTTATATAGTGTTTATAACCCGAAAATTGATGCAAGTGATGGAGTTGATATGTCATGCAGAGAATGTAGTTTATTCACCTAAATTTTCACACGGTCATTGTGAGATTATAGGATTTAAAATAACAACACATTCTATTACAGGATTTATGAGAACTAGACAGAGCAAACATCTAATATTTCTGCAATGCTATGTACAAACGTCAAAGCCAAGTTATCAACTTCTTATGAGGACGCCATAAAATTGACCACACGACATTCTGAAAGTAGCACTGAAACTGATTGAAACATACGTTAGTATTATGCAAAAGATGACCCCTTGTGATGTCAGACTACATGTAACCTGACATTGTTTTTATGTGATAAAAACGAAGATTTAAATCTCCTCATCTTAGCTGTAAGCAGATTAAATGGTCAGGAGTTCGAGGATATTAAATTTAAAAACTTTTGTAATATGGTCTGCTTAATTATTCTTTCTGAACTATAAGATATAAGAATAACGATTGTTTACATGATTAGTATTACTTGTTAGACACTAACCATAGCTTTAATATTAATTACTAACCAGTAAAGATGAACCTAATTAATAAACAAAGAAAAACATAAAGCAGGAAACTCCAAACATTAAAGTATATTCATTAATATCTTGAATACTTTAAATATTCGTTTCATTAAAAAAGAGGAATAACCAACATCGAACAAATAATTCTCATATGCTTTTGGTATTCATTAACCAAACGATCCAAGGTTACAGTGAGTTAACATCTTGAAAATTCGTAAAACCGTTTGATATTTGGTTAAGAATTAATCCGATCCACACAAACAGAATGAAATTACGATACTTACGGGAAGTACCATACTTGCTTCGATTAACAGTCAAACGACTCACATTATTATTATTAACATTATTTACTACGTCATTTATTCACTCTCTTTTATTCCCACTTTATGTATCCTTATTTTTCGACTTATACAGCAGCTCGCATATGGTCGAAACTTCGTTCTATCTAAACGCTCTCGAGTCACTGACTGGTTGAAAATTGAATTCTATCACCAAATACGAATACTGAAGCAGTTGTTCTGAAACCACGTGCACCATCTAAACTGGTTGCCTTCAACGTTTGCACACTAATGCAGATCGGACAACAGACAGGGTTGGCCATATCTTTAATAAGCCTTAGTATCGACGTCTGTTGTCTTACGAGACCCGTAATCAAGACTCTCGTGAAGTACTACAAATTTACTCTCTATCTGTCGCTCCGAAAAGCTTGTTTTACGTGCGTTTGTCCGGGGACTCTGTGGCATCTTCGTCTGGTCTTGCTGACGTTGGTTTCGCACTAAGCGCTAGAGCTGAGGCAACACTAATCGATTGGATCCCCATTAACAGTCGGTTATGTGCTGTTAGATTAGAAAGTTCCATCAAAGTGAGAAGAAATTGGCGTGAGAAACGATGTCTTTCGTCATCTTCGCCTATTCTCCGACAGATTGCAGCCCGAATGCCACCAAGGATGAGTTTTACCGCCAACTAACAGTTCTACAGAAAGTTCATTAGACAGATATTGTAATACTAGCCGGAGACTTGAATGCTCAGGTCGGGCGTCTAGGCACAGAAGAGAGTCGTTTAGGTGGCCGATGGGGACATGTTGGTCGCAAGACAGATAACGGGGACTGTCTACTGCAACTGTGCACAGACCACAACCTGTTTCTGGCTAGCACTAACTTCCGGCATAGTCATCGCCGATGTGCCACCTGGGGTCCTTCCTCTGCATTTCAAGCCTAGACTCAGATTGATCACATCGCGATCAGCTACCGCTGGCGTGGTTGTGTACAAGGCTGCCGCTCCTTTTGGAGTACCTATCTGGACTCTGATCATGCCCTGGTCTGCGCCAATCTTACCTTACTTTTCAGTGGCCAACGAAGTGACCGTCACCAAAAGATTGATGTCAGCAAGTCATCCGAGTCAACGTCAGCAAGAAGTCTGGTGTGAGCGAAATAATCTGTGAGGATGACGGCATGCCAATCACTAACATCCATCGACGTCTTGGACGACGGGCAGAATTCTTCGAAGGGCAGTTCAACTGGCCTGTTGCTCCGGCAACATCGGTCAGACTGTCCTGCCCTCCATGGCTGGTGACGACTGATCCACCAAATGAGGCGGAATTCCGCAAGAAACTCCAACTTTTGAAGCGCTACAAATCACCGGGCCCAGATGACTTACCTCCGGCTCTTTTTAAAGATAGTGGTGACTTTCTGGCTAAGGAACTGACTGTGTTGTTTACAAAGGTTTGGGAACTAGAAGGTGTATCAACGTCATGGAATGAGTCGATAGTTGTCCTTATCTTTGAAAAGGGTTCACGTCGTTCCTGTAACAATTATCGGGGGATAATTCTACTTCCGATTGCGTCCAAGCTATTGGCTTCCGTCATATTTCTTAGGTTGTTCAAAACCCGAGAAAGATTGACTCGCGAGGAGCAGACTGGTTTTCGTTCTGGTCGAGGATGTATTGATCATATCTTCATCCTCCGCCAAATGTTGGAACACTGTCATACTTATCAGAGGTCAACAATCGTAGTGTTTCTTGACATCAGGGCTGCCTTCGATTCGTTTGACAGGACTGTTCTCCGGGATTGTCTATTGAAGAAGCGTATGTCTGAGAAGTTTATTAACATCCTAAAAGCCCTACATACAAACACCTCAGGCAGAGTGAGGGCATACAACTACCTCTCTCCATTGTCCCATTCAAGCAGTGGGGTTAGACACGGTTGCCCAATCTCACCATTCCTCTTTAACTTTATCATCGACGACATTCTGGAAACAGCTGTGATGGATGTAAGTAATAGAGGTGTGGATCTGTTGTTTGGAGAAAGACTTCTCGACCTTGAGTATGCAGATGATATTGTCTTACTGTGCGATAATGCGTGGTCGGAGTCCAAGCAGGTACTCCAGAATGAGCGACAATCTTCTATCGACCCTCTCCAACGATGAGTGATGGCAATATGGTCTATTTGAGTCCATCGTTGGTTTGGTGTAGTGGGTCGCCATGTTAGACGATGTCTCTCCTTATGCTTAAAATTTGTGTTTACTAAAAATAAACGATTGTCTGAGCACAGTTGCAGCAGACGATCACCATTATCTGTTCGCTGTGCCGGAATACTAAAATACCCACCTAAATGCCTTTGTGTTTGGTTTAAACTACCTATCTGGGCATTAAAGTCACCCCCTACGAGTACTATGTCTGAACGTTTAGCTTTCTGAAGAAGTTCAGATAGCTTTCTGTAAAATTCATCTTTCATTTCATCTGAGATGCAGTCGGTGGGAGCATAGGCAGTGGGGTTAGGCAGGGTTGCCCAATCTCACCATTCCTCTTCAACTTTGCCATCGATGACATTCTGGAAACAGCTCTGATGAATGTAAGTAATGGTGGTGTGGATCTGTTGCCTGGAGAAAGACTTCTTGACCTTGAGCATGCGGACGATATTGTCTTACTGTGCGATAATGCCCAAGACATGCAATCCGCACTTAATCAGTTGGCAATCCGTGTCCGTAGGTATGGTATGTGCTTTGCACCTTCGAAGTGCAAAGTACTTCTACAAGACTGGTAGGATTCTGATCCTGTACTCACCCTGGATGGTGAGCAGATAGAAGTAGTTGAGAAGTTCGTGTATCTAGGTAGCTGCATAAGTGCTGGTGGTGGAGTGAGTGATGAGATCAATGCAAGAATAGTGAAAGCCAGAGCGGCTTATGCCAATCTGGGCCGTCTATGGCGCCTTCGTGATGTTAGTCTGGCTGTAAAAGGTCGGATTTACAATGCAACAGTGAGAGCAGTTCTGCTCTATGCTTGTGAAACCTGGCCTCTCCGAGTTGAGGACGTTAGACGACTTTCCGTGTTCGATCATCGCTGTCTCCGAAGGATTGCTGACATCCAGTGGCAACACCATACTAGTAATGCAGAGGTTCTGCATCATGTGTTCGGGCACAGAGATGATAATGCAATTGGTGTCACCATCTTGGATATGTTCTACGAATGTCGTCCCAGAGGATTCCACGTCGTGCATTATTTGCCGACGCTAGGACTAGTTGGAAGAAGCGGAAAGGTGGTCAGTGTATGACACGGCGTCGTGGTATGAAAGAAAGCTGCAAAGGGCTGGCTTGTGTTGGTCCTTCACGACTCCCTGGCTGGGGTCCGAGAGATGGTGCAACACAGTGGCTCGAGACGTTATCAGATATGGCTCAGAATAGAAGCCAGTGGCGATCCTGCTGTAACCTTCTTTTAATTTCTTCTTAAAAAGCGGTTGTATCTTCCTTAGCTGAAAGAATTCTCCTGGTTGTACTGTTCCGTGTCCTCCATTATTATTATTATTACACTACCTTACACTAATCTGTGGCCGTTATTGGTATTCTTTTTTTTCTTTTACGCTCCTTACCTTTTTTTCTCTTCGAATTCTCATTGTTTTGTATGGCGCATATATATTTTGTGCCCTCTTGTACCAATATTTGTGTGTTCAAATGAATAAATAAATCCTAATTTCCCTGGAATAACCTAGCATACGTTTTATTTAATATTCTGATTATCGATGTGGCGCGGCCGTTCTACCGTCCAGGTAGTAATTTACTTCATATTAAAGGAACGAATAAGTCTATTAGATTCACTCAAATCACAAACAATTTGTACTCAGTATCAGCTTCCAGCACAGTTATTATCAGTATGTTGTTTCCATCTTCCATATGAAATTTGAAATCGTATTCGGGTAGGTTATACTGCAGTTCGTTATTAGTGATACAGATTCGTTCAAAGCTGGTATACATTTTAGGACATTCAGATAGGCTTGGTGGAACCAATATTGGGTTTCATCAGCCAACAAGCTTGTTATTAAATTATCCATAACTTCAACCCCCCCCCAGAAATCAATTCGAAGTAAATTGAATATTGGCTATCGACGCACTTAAAATAATACATATAGATTGGTCTTGTGAGTGAGGCGCAGTAAAACTTTCGACTAAAATCACTTATGGCTAATCACTAGGTCTTACTCAAACGTACTGGATTTTCACTAGCTACTAACAAGATTTGAAACCTTATCAATCTTTCCTGAACGATTTCATGTCGGTCATCTGGAAAATTTTAAGAAAACGTATGTACTGACTACAAAACTTGATAGTCAGAAGGTTTTATGACAACAAGAAAAGTAACTCTACTTGACAACCGTCAGAAGTAAAGAATTAAAATGGTGTAGTTCAAGCAGTCTGTGAAGTGTGAACTTCCGAGCTGATGATGCATTGAGACTCCGTCTACGATTCTTGGATTTTTCTGAAGGGCTATTTGAGTGCCTGAAAACACTGTGTGAATAATGTTACTGTTCATCATACTGAGCTAGTGTCAATTATCAATCAGCGAAGGATTCTATTTTGGAACACCAGTTTTGGTGACCTGTATGTTATACGAATTACATCTAAGAGGATCCCATTTCCTAGTATTATTTTCTGATACTTAAAAGTGTATTTAGATTCATTTTATGATGCGTTGCTATACAACAATGAAGGGTTGTGTATGACTAAGATTTGTTGGTAGTGCACGCTTCTGCTGACTAGTTCCTAAACATGGTGTAACTCAGTGGCTTTAAGAGTCATTAGGCATGCCTCGCAATAGAAGGTAGTAGCAACTATGTGATATTTTGTGCTCCACTTAAATAGTAAGACGCATCTTTCAACCTGACGAAGTTTATCTTCACCGTTTTTTATTTAAACCCTATCCTCAGATAATGTTCAGATCCGTTTATTTAATGTGTATTTACTGTGTGGCATACCTCTCAGTATACTGCTGTACTATGTATTTTTGTTACAAAAACGATGTGAAGCGTAATTTTCATCCGTAATCAGCTTCAAGTAATTTACCCTATTTATTTGGGAGCCACTTGGTATTTAATTATGAGTTAATCAATTGATGATCAAATTATTTATTAAGCTCAAGGAATACACTTATTAAGATAATGTTAGTCAGGTTTTAAAAAAGATATGAACTACGTGCTCTACACCCATATTTAATATCACAGTTGTCAGGTTTAATAAATAATCCATGGACAATCAACTCTGAAGAATTTTAAGTACCTTTTGTACTACAGAATTTTATCAGATGTTTGCGTATCAATCTGATACAAATAAAGCATTTTATCCGATTCATAAGTGAATTATATCAAAGAATATTTCAAGTTTTAAAGATGACAACTAATAGCCATATTCGACTGCTTGAGTACATGATAACTGCTGTAAAATTTTCGGATACGATAGAGGAAAATGAAATATGGATGCACACTCATTGTCGTTGATGCCCGACCACTTTTTCTTACCGCTTTATCCTTACATTTTTTATAATTGATTTGAGTTACAATCGTTTATGTAGGGCTTTAGAGCGATCAATGATCCTTTGATTTCTTGCGGCTGTGTTTCTAGACCGATTAACATTTTGAGTTTGACTCAGCGAAACGGTGAGAGTACGTTATTAAACCATACATAAATAAATAATATATTTGTAATATCCCAATGAGTAGAAAAATTAGATTTTCTGACGTTTCGTGACTTAGTGTAAGTCACTCCTTCGAAGAATAAATAACCAAATTAAAATGAATCCAAGTTTAATTCGGTTATTTATTCTCTGAAGACCTGGCTTACACGAAGTCACGAAACGTCAGAAAATCTAATTTTTCTACTCATTGGGATATTACAAACATATTATTTATTTATGACAGTCTATCGAATGCTCAGTTTATTCGGAATTATCAAATCAAACCTTGGTAATGATACATACAAACTCATTAAACCGTACATTTTGCACTAAAATGTTTTTAATGCCAAGGGTCTTTTAGGACGAAAAAAATTCAACCTTCAATATTGGTCAGAAATCTTATGTGTTCAAGTTACCCTCTTAATTGACGTCAGAAATTACTTGGTAAATTGCGGAGAATTTCTAATGGTTACCCACTCAACCATTAACAAATCAAGGTGGTTGCGTAAATAAACTGTTTACTCACTTGACTTTCTTAATCCTGTTTTAAAGATATCAAATGGGGAATTTAGTTGCACATCATCGATAATAGAGAGTTTTCTAACAGATGCTCTTAATCCTGTCTAAAACGTAGCAAAGAAAAACATTGGCAAATTTAATGGTATACTACTTTTTGGAATTTTAATATTGATCAACTTTTCACTCACACATTCAATTTACCATGCTTCCAGGTTTCCAACGGTGGTCTAACATCAATCAGTTCATGATCTCAATCAAAAAAATATAAAAAGTCCACCACACTGTTGTGACGAAAAGCCTTATTTTTATCACGATGTTTTGTTGATATTTACATCAAAACCTGCATGAAAAATCAAAGTTTGGCATAAATAGGAAACGAATCTTGTGCAGCATCTTCATTCTAAGGAAAACGAGCCAAGAAAAATATTCTAACACAAATCGACAAATCCATCCTTTAAAGAACAACATCGTAACATCGTAGTTTTAGATCATCATAACAGCTTCACGTTTACAATCAATTGGTTTCAATTTAAGCACCGTTCCCAAAGTAGTTTCAATTTTTTTGTTATTAGCAAAGATCTGATAAACTTAGCTTGCTTCATAGGCCTGTCTTCAGTAGCTTAATGTCATTCAGAATAAAACGGTAAACAAGGCACTATACAACCAGTTTTCATAGTTAATCAAAATTTTGACATCTCTAGGATGAAATTACAAATTATGACTTGTTATTAAATTTTTAAATGAAAACATTTCTACATTTTTGTGGCGTGGTTTATGTACAACACAGTTATAGTATATTTAGCTATTACAAGCTTATTTTGCATGTAATTTATAGTTTCTTTATTTAATTTGTGTAAAGTTAATTATACCAAGTAGTTTGACAGAATCCTAATAACCTGAGCTATTCAGTTTTTAATCTAAAAGTTTCGGCATATTTCGAATTAACTTCCCATCTCTCAGTTACAAGACCGTTCTAGAAATCACACAAATGTTTTATTTGTACAACAGTCTAAGTTGTAAGCAAGCACAAAGTACCGAACTCAAAATTCATGCTGAGGTCGTAATGTCAGTATAATTTGGCAGGACAGATTAGGCTTTAAGAACGTTGAGAATTTTTTCAAGTACATAACTATACAATATTTTTGGCTATTCCTTTTTTTATATATCTCTATGTAACGAGAAATGATGTTCTTAGTCTATCTGATAAAACATCCATAAACTTCTATTTCTTTTGAAAATAACGACGTGCAGTCACAGCAAAAACTACTAAAGTATTGACGCTAGTTATTTTAAAATAGTGTAATGTTTTCGGTCATAACAAAAAAAGAATATCTTTTTATACTGAGATTTGACATGCTGAAAATATGTGAACCACTTTGCTTCATAAATGACTGAATATTAACACCGATTATATGAAAAAAACTAGAAATATTTTTGAAGTGACAAAGAAATGGACATTTTTGTACATGTATCCATACATATATATGAAACCATGCCACGTCTTTTTGATGAAAAAATTTAAAATCTAGATGTTACAGATTGAACCCCTATAAAATAAAATTCCATGCAAACTATAATGAGTATTTTAAATTATATCTTAGACATTTTATTTGATAAACACATTACAACCTGAAAATTACGACACATCTTATCTAAGTCGTAGAAATGTAGTAACATTCAATAAGTACCAACTCATTCGGAAGGCGGGAATGCGTTTGTTCTTTTACTATTTTTGACATTCGTTTGGTCTTTGTTAATGTACTTGTCTTGCAATTATTAAATTTTCACTGGTTTCCTCCCAAACACGAAATAAATTTGAAAATATCAACAAAACAACAGTAGCGTAATACCGGAGTTTAGCTAGATCAATAAAATAGAAGCGTTTTATTATTCTCAGATTTGCATCATTTTTAAGTGATGTTTCAACAAGGAATAAGGTTCGTTTAATTGAATAGAAATCTCATGATTTACTTGCTTTTTAGTATGAAAAAATCAATGGTTACCTTTTCGTCAATTATCACAGACTGATTGTCGGTGAATTGAACTTGTTTCACTTTTATTTGTCCACAATACTGAGTAGTGATAATGTACATTACGATTATCAGCACTATTGAGAGCAGTAAGGGAGACATTGGTAACGAAAAGGTATCCATCCAATCCATTTTATTATATCTTTATTTGTGTGCTAAAAAATAACATGTGTTTCCACAATAATTTTCGTTAGTTTGTTGATTTTAACATTCTGCTCATATGCAACAAAGATAGCAATAACACTACATTTCTTTTATTTTATTGTTACACTACTTTAATGGAGTTCGGCAAATAATTTAAAGTGAAATTCTAGTAGTTATTCCCAACCGCTAACTATCTTATGGCTCAGCTTTACGGCCAGTATATGTAACCTATCACGTTTTGATGGTTGGCTAAGCATATATGTAAATATATTAGTACTTACAATGCTACATCAAAGGTGACAAATGCCGGATGCGCATCAATTATTCTTAGATATTAGAAGGGGTTTTGTGGAGATTTTTTACAAATTTCAATAATTGAAATCATCAGTCAATCGAAGCTAGACCATCATGGAAAACCTGGAAGCACTGGACGGCCTTTTCGTTCTATTGTGGGACTCCTCAGCAGTGCGCATCCACGATCCCACTCTCCGCGAGGCGGTTTTCACCAATGTGTTATTTGTGTGTGGGTGCTAATACTTCATAATTTTCATTGCTATTCAAAGTCCTTTTATGAATATACCGACAACCATGCAGCTAGTTTATCGACTTGATATGAAGTAATAAATTAAGCGAATAAGACATAAGCGCTTGCTTAATGTCGTATTCCATCCTTAAAATGCTTTGATGTACCTAAAATCTATGCACACAGACAGTAAAAACCCTTCGTATTTCAAGCACTTGATTAGCTTACATTAGACTCATGAACATTTTTTAAGCATAGGGAAAACCTACGAACTAGCTATGCGCTTAAAACCACATTCAATCATAAATCTGGAACTTGGCTTTCCTCAGTATAATTAACATCATTTTCAACGTTGTAAGCGTAGTTTGCAAACAAATAACTGAAATTATTGCAAAAACATGAACACCTGACCAGAGGAATTACAGATTAACAATAACATATTTTCAGTTCACTAAATTTTCAGTGACATCCATAGAACAGAGATAACATTTATCCAAATAAAAATAAATCGTCGACCGTGCAATCAAATCCTCGAATTAAACATACAACTTTTTGCCTTAATATGTGGTGCTATCATCTTTAAATATACTGTAAAGCAAGTAAAATAACTTAAAATGTTAATTTCCTTGTTTCTTAGTCAGTCAGTTTAAAAAAATGAAGTTGTTTCACTTACTTTCGGGCTGAGATCCTTAAACGTTTATTGTCTTTTCTGTAAACACAGTATGAAGTGTGTAAACTATGAACGCAAATAATATCAAATGACTCCAAGTGATAACAAATGTGAAATTTAAAATATTGATCCTCAGTGTAACTAAACAATCACCAGAACAGACATCAAAAAGCAAAACTACAATCTCTTCACAAGCCAAATTAAGTTATATGGTTCTTAGTATATTGACAACCTTACAAACATACGTTCTAAACCTTTCACTTCTGACGTTGGATTTGACTGGTTTGGTATCCTCTGATTATAAAGGCATCATGGAAGAAAACGTCAAAAGATGGATATCTGTTTCATGAGCTTGGTGTGATCTGATATTCTAATTGATAAACTTTGCCTGTTCTGTGTTCTAACCTTATACTTTTTATTTTTTCTAGTTTTACATGTAGTGATATTATTTTAGTATCCTTGATTTTTTTCTCGTTTTTGTATTTCATCCTCATTATGACGGAGCAGAAACCAAAACAGTTGAATATTTAAGCTCTGACGACGGTTCCCTTTCGAATCATGCCGTTCTGGCCTAATAACATCGAAGCCTGGTTCCGCTACGTAGTAACTTCCATGAACACGGAGTGACAGATCCACATGAGAATTTTCTCACGGCAGTAAAGGCACTACTGCGCGAGTTGAAAATATACGTTTCACCTAGTATGTTTCTGAACCTTGCGATACCTTGAAAAGGGCTATCCTAGCTCATTGCCAGCTGCATCGCCATGGGCTACAGGATAGACTGACTAGAGCAGTTAAAAGAATTTTTGACGCAGCTGACCTATCTCTTAGCAAAGATGAATAGTGGCTATCAAAGGAATCCAGGACGTGCGTTTCGTCCTGTTTGGTGCTCGTCAGCTAGATGTACCTGCATCTGAGAGAGACTGATCAGTTTCAGTCCTAAAACATCAATGGGAAGATTCAAGTAAAACAATACCAAGTGAATTAAACTTCACCCCACTGCACAAGCAAGTGGCTCTCAGGACTCAGTAGCTTAGTGAATAACGCGATGGCGTTTGAAGAGAACGGTACTGAGTTTGAGTCCCAGAGTGAACATCAACTCTGAGAAAGCTACACTGAGCACACTACCACGTAACTGAGCCAACGAGCTAGTGAACACATCCCTTCGTGGTTGGGGGGGCTGCACAGTCATCACAATACGCAGCTCTGATCTATCACACTTGATCGATACCAGGCACGGAGCAAACAGAATAGATCATTTAAGGTGATTAATCATATCCCTACTGGTTTCTCTTGTGGGTTTCCATCTCGTGCCTTACACATAGCAGAAGCTATAGGAATTCAAGTCCACTCGAAATCTTTGTGTTCATAAGAAGTTCGTGACACCTTTGTCTCTCCCTTGGCCTCAGTAAATAATTTTATTTACTATGACATTTTATACTCTGTTTGTCTATTTTTCTTCACCCCCTCTCACCTATTTTTATATACGCTTCACTGCCCAGTTTTCTGAACACTTCATATTACGTAATCTTATAATTTTTATGAATGCTGTTTCAGCGTCTTTATTTTTCTAATCATTGACCTACTTCGCGATATGAAACGTTGATTCTACCTTTTATTATTGTTATCAAAACTTGTACACCTGTCACCACTTTATCAAATTGTACTATTCACTTGTGTTTATTTACGTAATCTATTCCGCTGTGATTATTGACTCCTCAACTGCTTTGATTGGCTTAATATGCATATAACTATTGCTGTATATTAGAGCATAGCCTCAGGAGGATCTAATCGAAAACAATACTGCTCGCCTATATATGTTGTTCCAAGTTACAATATGGTGGTTTTTCAAATTTTAGGATGGAAAATCACTTAATCTTTGTGGCGACTACTACCTGATGGGAAATGCTTGGTTATGGCAACTGGGTTGTACCACTGAAGAGACCGAAGATATATTGTATAGATTACGAGGGTCAAAATATTTCTTGGTAACAGACCTAAAAGTTGTGCACTTACAAATTACAAGTAACTACTGCTAAAACACTATTTGGTTTATCCAGACACAAATCCAAATCCAGACGCTTTTGTGATGTGCGGCCGCAATTACCTTCAAGTGTCAATTTCAAACTAATTCTATCAACTGTCTGTTCTATCGTGAATGCACACTGCTGCGTACCCAATACTGGGACGAAACGGCCGTCCATCAGTTCCAGGTTTCCGATGGTGGTCTAACATTGATCGATTTATGATCTCAATCAAAAACTCGACCATTTCCACAACCCCATACTGACATGCTGTGAATGCTAAGAGTTTTCAAACTGATATAAGTTGCCTAGCCCCACAGATTAAGAAGCCGTCACATACAAATGTCAAAGCACTCAGATCAGGTGTTGATGTTCTTCAATCTTTTTACAGTTTCGTTTCCAAATTTACACAAATTTTACAGTCCCTAAGTAGTGAGGCTCTTTTCAGACCGTTTCCGCCAACTGAGAAATCTATTATCACTACGAATGCATGTTAAGTGAGGTTTTTGAGCAAGATGGAAATTTTGTTACTTTTATTTCTAGACAATTAGGCACGAGTGAACAAGGATATCCTCAGAACCATAAAGAGGCTCTAGCTGTTGCCCAGGCAGTAAAAAGAACTGCATGAATACTAAGAAGCGCGAAATTTGAAAGTGGTAACTGTTTTTCACGTGGTTTAGTACTTGATAGACTAGTTCATTTGTAGGGTGTATTATACGGAGACTAACGTCCTATCTTGTATATCAGGTACATTCCACCCCTGAAAAAAGTTTTCAACGGACACTTGCCAGTTAATATTTTTCCTATCATGGACTTAAGTCTTAAATGCATCTGAAATTTATTATATACTCTTAGTTTCTGATCCTATTATTAGCCAGATTAATACCTAATAAAGTCTAACACTCAGATATTATATTTACTTTAACCAGCTCTGTGCTCACCTAGTTTCAAATAACTTCAGTAAAAGAGAAACTTCACCAACTTCTAAGCCAAATTAAAGGTCCGAATCTGGTGACTCAGTACCTGACAATGTCGAGCCTTTAACTATTGAAAGACATGAGCGTTATACACAAATGTCACTATCATCACCTGTTTCTCCATGTAACAAATCCTCTATCTCTGCGTGCAGCATGCCAACGGCAAAACTGGTTGACATACAAGACAGTATACCGACGTGTATTGAAAAGTCAGCACAGTCTACCAGACAGTATGTTCTACCAAGGCCTAAATTTAGAATTCCAAGAACCAAGGAGTGTAATATTTCATCTCATACACACGAAAATACTAAAAGATATCATACTGACATGCGGAAGCTGTACGATCCATTTTGAATGTCTTGTGTGTTTGTGAAAATCCCTCCATGTATATACTTGCACTTTGTTCCTATTGATCCCCTTAGTTGTACATTGTTGTCTTTTGATTACATTTGAATTGTTAATACTTGTATTTTTTTGTTTTTGTTTTTCTTACACCTTCACTAAGTTTGTGTTTCTTCCCAAACTGCATCTGTGTTGTTTTGCTTGACACTTGTTCTTGGCGGTAGCCATATTGATTTGCTCCTCCTTTTGTGTGTTCTATCCAGTCAGGATAGAATAACGTTCATTTGTTGTGACTGGTAATTTTCCCTCATCTTTCATCAACTACTTTATTTATTGTAATTTAGATTTTATTGATTGAACAACTATTGGTTGAATAGCCGAGTGGTAATATTTGTTTAGGTAACGATTTACATTTAAATTTATGATGAATTATAGAACCGCTATTTACCCGATTACTTGTTTTGATTTCGACGAGAAAGGGCGCGTGTCTAACTTACCTAGAAGGCTATTCAGCAGTCCAAAGCCTAGTATGGATCTTACAGAATCTACAAAACTCTCTGGACGAAATTAACGGCAGATTTAACCAACTACCACCCCTCACATATTTATGGAGCTTTGATACTGATAGAAATCTTGAGCAACTCTCTGAAGGTGAGTGTATTTTGGAGTTTGTGGCTGAAGAAGTGACGAAAAGAGTGATACCTCCCGCCCTTTCTTTTACTTGCGCCCTTTTTCAGCCCCCATGAGATATGGAACGGATGACTTCATCCTACACCATCCTCCCAGCCTCAGGTATTCCAAAGGGATATAAAGCTGCGATTTCTAGAAGCTCTCACCTTCAATGGATCTATCCTTGACCATCAGTTGCTCGTTGCAACGCGACTTTCACGAAGGGCGACAACTGTGATACTGACTAAAACCATCTACATTCATGTCTTATAAATTATCAACTCAGCTGAGTAATTTACTACAGTGGATATTGTATCATTTGTAACAATTTGATCTTGCCTGTAAACTGGCATGCCTCATGTAACAAACTGTGATTTGAGAATAAATTATTATTATTACTTATTTGTTGCGAAATTCCATACTAAGACTAATAGGTGTTAAACTTTATTCACCATCCAACAAAGTCACTTCATCAGTCATCCTCTGTGGTGGTCTAGAGATGAAATTTTGAATTACCTACTTGTATTTTTTGCTGTTAATCACCGAGGTGTTAAATGCATACCACATGCAAATTTCTTGACATGCCATTCACATCTCGAAAACCCAATTAAAGAAACTGATTATATGTTGATCGTCAAATGAACGAAGTTGAAAACAATAAAAGACAGTACATTCGTGGAGATGTCTCACTAAGTTAATGAAAATGTTTGTTTTAGAAGTGCACAGAGAGTGCAGCTTTTGAAGCCTTTTTTCAAAAATGATATCACATTTACGTTGCTGCTACTACGTTGCATACTACGTTAACTCGTCTATTTTGTGTCAGAATTATAGTCGTGCTAATTATTTATACCATGCAACTTTTCGAAACGTTCAAGATTGTAGTAAAGTAAGTTTACAGGGCGCTTGATATAGACTGTAACCTCGAAAGATGCATGTATAAGGTTTATTTTACGGGTACGAAACATCATTCCTGTGCACTGTGTGTGATGCTGAAAAAGAGGCATCAAGTTTCTTGGATTCAAACTCTAAACAATGTAAAACAGTTTGTGGTGGAGCATACAAATGTTATCACTTGCGTGAGACATGATTACAGCCGACAG